AGAAAGCTGAGAAGTTACCTGCTACAGTGTTATGTTTGTGGGTTTTATATGCTGACCTGTCACCTTCTTGGGTACAAAATGTAGCCTCACATTAGTCTTTTTACAGTATTATTTTCTAATTTTTTCCCCAAACAAGATGAAAAAAGGATGTTTGGTAAGTCAAGAAAATATTGCCATGTAGAGTATTAGTATAATAGGAAAGGAAGCACATATGTCATATTTAAATCTAGGTGGAAAAATATTTTAGTATTGGAACCCAAAATATGGTATCTGTTTCTGAAATACTGGACTACTCATGTATAAAACAGTGATTTCTTTTTAGTTGTTTTCAGAGATGTGAAACAAGTGATAAACACTGAAATAGAAAAAACTGGCACAATAGATCTTCTCTAAAGCTGGAAGTATCTGTCATTCAAGTCTTGACACAGAGAGCCGAAGATGAAATTCTAAACTGATTAGCTCATTAGAAAAATGAAATGGTGGGACCCTGATACTTGTGTGTGATGTCCCCATGCTTTACATAGGCAAATACACTTGTTAGAATATTTGAAGCATCATGAGTTCTGTTTAGGTTAAAACAGATGCCTGGTATGCCTTGATATTTCTGATTAATATATTCTGAGTTTGCTTTAACTTCTTTGCAAGTAAGCAGACTGTCATAACTATGTTAACTCTTGCCACTTGTTTTGTATTACAATAAATTTCATGGTTGAACCTGAAATGTCATCTCTATCTTTATCTATTTGTTAGCATTCTCAAGACTAATCCATAGATAAAACATACAAATAGGCAACTTGTAACTATCGTGTTAAGTGGTGTTCTACATGCTTTATGCGAGGCTCAGTTCTGTATGCCAGTACCTAGCATCCATGTGAAGTGAATGAGCATCTGGTTGGGTAGGAGTGCAGACCTGTGGTTTTCCAGTCCAGAAGTAACCATCAAACTTCTCTGTATTTAAGCACTAGTCTTTTCAGAAAAATAACACTGAATGAATATATAATGAAATTATGGTGACCTATGGGACTACTTTACAATCAGTGCATGCCCTAAAATACTGCTTTGTAACATCTGTTTTATACTAAATGTTCGTGTTCGAGTGAGCCTTGTTAGTTATTTGACGGTGACAGACAAAAACATTTATAAACCTGTTATAATAAATGCCTTTTTAGTCTAAGAAAATGTGTGGTATGCCTTTTATAAAAGGGGAAGAAAAAGTCTGTGTGAGGCTAAAGAAGTCTTTGCTGCTGCCTTGTGTTAAAAAATTCCTTTCTGTGCCGTGGGCTTGGATTTATTGCTCTCAGTAATTGCATTAAAGTCAGTGAGGCTGATCACAGTAGCAAATTAACAGATGTGGGGGACTACATTTTTCTTTTACCATCAGAATCACAATGAAGCTGCAAATAAGTGTAGTCATCTGCATTTTAACAAAGAATAAACCCTATTGTCACTTTCTATAAGTAAGAGGAATATAGAGGTTTCTGTGGTGATCTCTATGCTGTGTTTTTGTAATGTATTTGATGCAACTATAAAGTTGCCAATATTAGAAATTTGGGTGTTCTTTATTTACTTTCTTCACTGCCCTATTGCTTGGCCAGACAGAGCAGCTCCTGAAGCAGTGAGAACCGACTTCTGCAGTAAAGAAATCAAATGGTTAGAGATCGGCAACAGAGAAGGAAGTCCTGTGACACTCAGCAAGCAAAAGCACCTGCAGAAGTCTCAGAGATGCTTCAATTTTGGAGATCTCACAGGTCTGAGTGGGTATTTTAACTCCTTGCTGGTGGACTGAGCAGAAGAGCTAGCTCAAGGGATCAAAAAATGTATTGCTTTTACACCATGTACTCCATTTATTGTGTTTGTAGTATTGCTATCCTGTAGCTGCAGGCTGCAAGAAAAGATGGCTCTGGTGTGTCAGCTACTTGTGCACTATCCGAGTGACCATGATCAATAGATGCCTTAAATATACTCAAAAGAGGGTCTGGAATTATATTGTCTTGTACTATGTGACATTTGGCAGATTGTTAAGGCATTTTCTGAAGAGGATATTATTTTGTCATTAAACTGAGGTTAATTTCATTTCATTAATTCACCTCAACTGAACATTCACAAACGTTCAGTAAGAGGTTGTAACAAACAAGGGATAAAGAGTTGTTTTCTAACTACACAGGCCAGTGCTGACACCTTGTGGTTTATTTTATATTATTATTGAGTTATTTCACAGTTTCATGTGGTTATTTCGGGTATAAATCATGATTAACTTGCTGTTGCCAGTGTTGTATTCTTCACTTCACAGCTACCTCAGTACCCAGTATTTTACTATCATGTGTAAGACAGGTTGTAACTTTATGCTGTGTTAACTGCACAAAATATGAATAAGAACTAGGAGTGTCTGTTTTTTCTTGAAGGGGACTTGGAAAGCTTCAGTTCAGTGCAGAAAATCATGGGTCCTAATGCAGCAGCAGCAGACAGAAGTTACAAGCTTTTCTCTTACTAGCTAATACCTCATTTTATATTTCCCTTTCCACAGAAGAACACTGAAGACTACCATTATTTACCATATGTGTACTTTAAGGCACGTATGTGTTTTCTGCAGTGACACAAAAGCATTCCTTTGCTGCCCTCTTTGCTATTGAAGCATTACCAATAGCAAAAACACATCCAAAAGGACTGAGGATTTCTGGCAGTATAGGACCCTGGAGTGTACTTCTTATCTATGGCCATGAAACATCTAAACCATGATTTATCAGTTCAATTTACCCCTAGATGGGCATCTAATCTAAAATCACATAATGCTTCAAATCTTGAATAAAACCAGCTGTTAAGGATGCAGTTGTTTGAAATCTGTTGTGGAAATAAGTTTTCAGAGCTTGAGGTGTGCCTTGTGAAAACCATGCATTGTCCCTCAACAGTCACCTCAGAGCTTGTTTTCTGATGTTTATGGTCACGTCCCTGTTCTTAAGGGTTCATGTTGTGGTCGTACATGAGTTAGAAATCTTTATTTCATTGCATTGTGGTTTTGGTTTTGTTTGTTTTATTATTTTATTTCTGATATGTTTAGTTATTTATAATGAAGAGTAAACCACAGAACTGGAAAGGTTTTCTACAGCAGGGACCAAATCTTTAGCTTATGTAAATAACATCACTCAAGTCAAAGAGGTGCCATTAATTTCTATTCCTGACGAACATGACTGCCAGAGTCTGTTAAGAAAAATGCAAGGAATAACGGTGTGCTTTGAAGGTTTGATTTGCTGGCATCTGTTTATTTAACTCCCCCCTGTGTAAATCTTAACTGACACTTCCTAATTGAACTTTAATGCGGTAAATGTATTATAATGAGCCATTAGAAGCTCTTTGGCATGCTTCCTCCATTCCGCAGAAACTGAAAAGGTTCAAGTAGTGATGTGCCCTTGTTACCTATTTCAGCACCCTGCCAGGAGGCAGATAGATCTGATCAAAGAGCATTGAGTGGCAGCATCATTTTAAGGTGTAATAAAAGCTTCTCATACAGATAACTGCTTGTAATGCCTCATCACCACCAGGATCAAACGAGGTACCTGTAGGTCTATAAATGCCTTCACTGCAAGAAAGGGAAGTACTCTGTCAAACCTACACGGGACCTGTTCAGCAGAGGAAAATAAGGAGTTGCAGGACCCAAGAGTGACCTTTATAAGCATGAACGTGTGTGTAACAGGCAGGAAAAGTTTTGCAGCACCGACAAGTTGGGACTGTGCACAAAAACTCTAGGAAACTGGATGGGTAGAATGCAGTGTGGGTTACAGGAAGCACGTAGAGAAATCTCTACCTTTCCTCCTTGGGATGATGATAGGGATAGGTCTCTGCTATAGTCTGTTGTCTTTGTATTGTTCTGCCTTAAAATCTGGTTTATGAACAGTTGTGTTCCCACTTTACAAGTTAAAAACAATTCAGTTCAGGGGAATTTCAACTTTAGACATCTGCATTGTGCAAGAAATGCTCCACCAAAGTCCTGCTGGTCAGAAATCTACCATGACGTCACATAATGCTAAATTTCAAACTTGCATGTAAATCCTAAAATAAAGAAAAAAATCCCCTACCTCTGCACTTTTTACATGTTTACTGGTATGCAACCTCTGTAGTAAGTTCTGGAGGCTATTCTGCGCCTCTTTCGGAAGAGGAAGAACCTCTTGTGGTTTTATGGTGGCATTACAATAGCTTTAGTACTGAAGGGCTGTGTTCGGCTGTGGAAAGGAAACTGGTTTTAGCAGCGTACTGCCAGCACTGAGCTAGTTCAAATGTTGTGGATTCCAGCTCTCAAAACTTGCTCAGTCCAAGCCTATTTATTATAGAGGCATGTGGATCATCTGTAAAATGTTAGCTGTCACCCTCAGGCATGGATGGCAGACGCAAGAAATTAGTTCCTCACTAGGTTGTTTGTGGAAAACATTTCATGCGACATAGTGTTAGAAGTGTCAGGTCTAAAAACCCAGAGAAAATTACTTCAAATTCCCAGTAAAAGCACAGATGTTTCCTTGTTCCTTCCTTCCTTGTTAAATAACTCGATGCCAGAACACGTTCAGACAAGACAAAATTCTGCAGCCGGTTTAACCAGTGTTGCTCTCCTCCTTACAATGACACTGCAATTTCAGAGTGTTTTCTGCCTCCGGAGACTACAGTAGGGACGGGAGAGCAGCGACAGGGCTGCGCTGCTGGGATGGGGGCGAGGACATGAAGCAAGCTGCTGGGCTTTCAACCTCCAGCCTTTGGCAGCCTTATGGAGGAGACGCAAGGACAGCGGTGGGGAGCCTCAGCCCGAACTCGGCGGCAACCGAAGCCGGAGGGGTCGAATAAGGGACCCCCGGGACACTCCGTACACCGGCTGTGGGGAGCGGCCGCCGGCTACCCCAGAGCGGAACTACATTTCCCAGCACCCTTCCCCACCGGCACCTCCCCTTCCCCGCCAGGCTGGGCCTACGCCCGCACCCGGAGCCGCGGGGCGGCACTACAGCGCCCGGCAGTCTGGGCCACCCCTCCGCGCCCTCGCCTGTGGCGGCGGCAGTGGTAGCTGCGCGTCGCCCGGTGTCAGCGGCGGCCGAGCCCGGCGCTGCGCGGCGGGGGCGGGGGTCGCCATGGCTGACAGCGGAAAGCCCTCGGAGGCTCCGGCCGTGGCCCCTCAGGGCTCGCCGGCGCAGGAGCGGCGGCCGGAGGGCTCCCCCAGCGCGGGTACCGCCGGGGCGGAGGGCGCGGCGGCCATGCCGCGGCTACCGTTAGGCAGCCCTGGCGGGGCGGCGGGGATGTCGCTGCCGCGGCTGGAGAAGCCGATCAAACAGGCCTTCTACAACACCGGGGCGCTGCTGTTCGCGGGGCTGTGCTGCGGCGCCGCCGTCCTGGTCTACTTTATCTTGGAGGCCTTCCTGCGGCCGCTGCTCTGGGCTGTGCTCTGCGGCACCTTCCTGCACCCCTTCAAGAGCTCGCTGACGGCGTTGGGCCGCCGCTGGCTCGGCCGCCTGCAGCGCTCCCGCACGCCCGTCCTGCTGGCCGCCCTCCTCCTCCCCATCTGCTTCGCCAACTACGGCGTGGAGGCGCTGGGTGAGCAGGTGCTGCGGCGGCGGCGGCTCCTGCTGCTCCTGGGCGCCGGGGGCCCCCTGCTCTACGGACTCTACTGCCTGGGCAGCTCCCTGGGCGTGCAGGTGCTGCTGGCCCAGGCCGGCCGCCTCATCTGCCAAGGGCTGGACTACTTCAGCAGCCAGTGGGTGAGCGCCTGCCTCGGCGGGAACGGGCTCCGCGGGTGGCCGGGCTCCCCTGGGGGGTAAGCGGGGCAGCGGGCGCCAGCTTCCCCCGCCCTGCCTCGGCGTTCCACCGGAGGGGAGGGGATGTGGCTTTGGGTTACCCCGGGGGGCGGCCGCCATCTCACTTGTTGCACGGCGGCAGGGGGCTGGCGGGGCGGGGAGGAGCGGACACGCTTCCTCGGTTGGTATTTACTATAGGTAGCTTAGCCATGCTCCAGGTTTGAATTACCTCTGGCTTAACAGCGTCTCAAGCGAGGTCTTGCGCAAACATCGGCTCTTGTGGAACTGTAAAGTGTGTGTGAAGTGCTGTAAAGTAGCAGCTGAGTTCCCCAGGTGACCTCTGGGGAAAGCTTACAAATGTTACTTACAGTAATAAAGAGACTGGAGACTGCTTTTCCTTATGTTGTCTTCAGTGTGTGGAGACTAGGTCAAACTTCTGGCATAACTCATTTTCATTTTGTCAGTGGTAATTGAAAGTACAAAAAGATGCTAGAGATGTGAAGTGAATGCATGTATGAAAACACAGAAGATCAGTAAGTTATACTTTTGTTAAATCTGATGTGTGGTTGGCATTCTTAGATTGTTTGCTGCCAAAGACTTTTTTTAAGCTGTTCTAGTTTTTTTAACAAAACGGCACCGCTCCCCTCTTAGTGGGAAGATTACATTCACAGTTGATTTAATGGAGATACACGTGGAGATAAAACTGAAGAACTACTTGAAACTGATCGTACATGGTCAAGAAACCAAAACCACCACCGTTGAAACTCTAAAAAGCTTGTCCAGGCTTCTGATTTTGTATACTAGTTTTATTCCTTTGGTGGAGCTGGTGAATGCTGGTATCTCAAACACAACTTTGGAGGTGTATACCAGAAACAAAAAAGTAATAGTTCTTCTGAATGTGCTGACCAAGGATGTTGTGAGCTATTTCTAGCTTGAATAGGGGGGACTGGAGAGTGTGTTTGTCTCTTGAAAGTAAACACCGGAAGAAGAGATTTTATTGTCTTTCTAGTCTGAAGTGTTATATACTGAAAAATGTTGGGGCAGATCTCTTTCTGTTCTGTCTCAGAAGTGTAATTAAGACCGAGTAGATAGAGACACTGTATTTTTATAAAGAGGCACGATGCAACCATCTTTCCCTTCAACTGAGTGGGGAAGGAATCTAAGCATTGGCTTGGTACTGATGGGAAATTGAGATTTCTTGCCACACAATTTATTTGATCATTTTAAGACTTCTCCTTGCATTGGCTTACCTGTTTTCATTTTAACAAGTCGGCAATATCGCTACACTGGCTGATTTGGCTAAGTCCAGTCCTTTATTCAGAATTCATTACACTGTGTAAGTAGTGCTAAAGGAAGCTGCACTGGTTTGACCTCCTAACTATGGTTGTAATGCACTGCTGGATGTCTGTGCATGCTCAGTGCAGTTTTGTTTAGCAGTGTTTGACACTTGTTTTGCACCAGTGTTTCTGATACAGCACTTGTGTTCACTGAAGTTCTGTAGGTTTTTAACTGGGCTAAAGGCATTAAGCTCCCAGAACTCTTCTAACTTGTGTTCCTTGACAAGATACTTGGCTTTGTGTCAGAATAACTGACCATGGGCTTCCATGTTGCTGTAGCTTTCTCAGCAAACCGCTTGTGCCTCTTTCTGGGGCCCTATGTGAGAAATAAACGGTAATCATTCCTTTGTAAATATGCTCAACTCAGCATGGCATCATCTATAATGCTTTACAGTGTTTTCCTATTCCAGTTTTCCAAATTTTGCTGTGAACTTGATTTGTGTTCTCTCGGATATGTAGCAGGATAACTTAATTTTATTCATGTTTTTGAGGAGCCTTGAGCTAGATCAGTTAATAGTATCTAACTTCAGTTATGCATTTTAAAGCTATTTAATTGCCACGTTATATTGCAAGGCTGTTTGCATGTGTAAATTATGCCTGCTAGCTGCACAGGAGTTATTACAAGTCAGCTTGCTCCATTGTACTGTTCTTCTCTGGGACCTGACTCTTACAACTTCCTTCTGTATGTTGCATGAAAATTACAGCTGGTTTTGTTTGTAGATACTCTGTTTGATAAGCAACAGGAATGGTGATTACATTTCTTGCACAGTTTCTTTTAGCAGTCCACTAAGCCAGTCTAGATTTTTGTGTTGAAATATTTTGATACGGAAAAATTTAATTAACATAAGTAAATTTTCCCATTAGACAGCAAGGAATACTTTCTTGCCAAGAACATGGCAGGTATATAAATAATTCATTAAAAGCATAAAAGAGATGAACAAGCATGGTGTGTTTCAAGTGTGAGACTAGTATCTGAGTAGCATAGTACATTTGTTTATGGTAATTTTCATCTTGTGAACTATGAATATCTGTGCCCCAGCCACTGAACCTGCCTTGGGCTGCAAAGGTGTATGGTGCATTTATTTTTATTTGGAACTTTGCCTCACCTAGATGGTGCTGCTGCTTGCAGAGAAGAAGAACATGCATGGTTGTCTTCTCTGTTTTTGGTTCCCTCTGCTGTACTAGAGAAGCGGGGAATTTGAGTGAGAACCATGATGGCTTTTTGGGACATCAATTTGGTGTTCTCTAAAGGTAACTAAAGGTAGTTTTTGGTATCCACATAGCCATGATAAAGAGACAGCAATTCTCTTCTGATCCAGAAATGTTCTCCAAATGCAGCAGTTGCATATGATGGTGACATAGGAAGCCGTGTCTTGGCACCAGTATGTTAGAGAGCTTTCCTGTCCTCAAGTCTGGGAAAGCCATTCCTGGAGTTGATGAGTGAAAATTTGGAAATGGTTATGTTCCTGTCAGCGGTTCTTAAGTCACACCTGCAATTTAGGAATTAGGAATCCTAGATACCTCCATGTTAGGACCTTGTGACAGGTGATGGCAAAAAACTGCATTTGAGGGATAAGTCCAAGACCTCAGGGTAGTCTACAAGCATCTTGCTCCCATGGTCTCCTTTTCCTTCGTGCTTTACAGTTTCTGCATCATCTTTGAAGAAACTTGCGCAGCAAACATAGGAGCTGGTTATATATTCCAAATGAGTTCTTTGGTCTGACTCCAGACTTCTCTATGGGTTGTTTGCAGAAGTGTATCACCGAGGACATACACTCTACATGAACTTCAGTGGTGTGTAATAGGGAAGGGGAATGTTCTTCTGTACTTTTTTTCTTGGAGAGGAGTTTGTCCTATAGCAGATTGAATATACCCTTATATGTGTCATCAATTTCAGCATGGTTAGCATACGTGCTGAAGATTAATCTTGGATTGCCTTGTTGTCCTAGTTTTAGACATACAGAAATATGCTTCTATCCAGGACTGTATCAAAGGTATGGGAAATTCTTTCTTTTCAACATGAGTTCAGACTACTTTAGCCTGACATTTTACACTTGCAGCAATATACAGGAAATGTCAGCGGTTGGTTGTGGTTTTTATTGTTTTTGTTCAGCAGGGTTCATATGGTCATATTTATTTAGAAAATTGTTAGTTTGTAGATCCTGACAGATGAAATTGATTATACAGCTGCTCTACATTGACTCTGAAGTTCATGTTAGTAAATTAAATCTGATATAATTGGCAGAATTCTCTAAACTTAACTTGCTTACAGGGTTATCAGTTGTTCTCAGATGGCCAGTCTTTCTTCCTTGGTTTGCCACAAGTTACTGGTCAGGGTCAGAACTTTGTGTGTGCCAGTGTGTATATCTCTGTAGTATGTACAACTCATGTTGTTCTACTCGTTAGCATGTAGTTGGAAGACCTGATCGGTCCTTTCCTCTTTGCAATGCTGGGCAAATTTGGAAACACCGTTTGCTGTGAGCTGCATTGGAATATTGTCAAAGTAGGTATTTCCTGTTTTAGCTGCTTAGCTGTTAGCTTCCTGCCAGGGAAGCTCTCAAAGACATCCAGGAGGGAAACTTCCATTTGCGGTGGCACTACATGGCAGCAGTCCCTGAAGTAACTCTTGCAGACTGAAATTCTGAAACAGGCTTCTTGGCAAATATTTTGGGTCACAGGCTCCAAGAAGCTTGGATTCCACAGTCCTATTCACTGTACAAGGTTCATCTGATGGGGCAATTCTGTTTTAGCAAAGGAAAAGGTTAAGTTTGATTATAAAGTGGGAATAACTGTAAATGAACAAAACACAGTTATGATTTTTGAGGTTCATATAATTTCTCTTTTTTTGAGGTTTATTTTTTTCCCTTTCTTCTTAGAGTAGGCTTGCAGGTTTCTAAAACTTGCCCAGCATAACCCCCAAAAGCCAAACAAAACCAAACTAAAACAACACCCCACCCCCAACCCCTACCACCTAAATAAGCCCTTAAGCGTTCTCCCTGCTGTTTATAATAATCCTTTCATTATTTGGTATCATGGTTTACAAATCTCACAGACAGGTACTGACTGTAAACGCATCTTGCCAAAACCACAGGCTTTGGTTTGTTTTCACATCTTGGTAGAGGTCAACTCTGTAGGCACTCACTGTGGCCTATTTAAGAACATGATGGGAAGGGGCAGGGAAAGTCTGAGGTGTTGATAGTGTTTTCTTTTCCACCTTTGCTTTTCCCTTCCACACCCATGCTCATTTTTGGCAGATCCTGCTGTGAGGTACCTTTCTTGAAAAGGCTTAGGAGCTTGTTTAGATTCACATGCAAGAACTGCAGCCCCAGGCACTAGGCTGACAGCTAGCCTTGAGGTGAATGAAATGGGACCCTACATAATGTTATTTAATTTTTGTATTTATATGTATTATTTGAATGCAGTGATACTCTTTTTCCTACCACCTCTGAAATGAGTGGCTGTTACGGAACTGTCCAGCAAAATTTTAGCTGTGGTCTGTATAATAAAGCAAGAAGGTGAAGAAGCTGTGTATGTTGAGGAGCCCTTTCTTCTGAAAGTCACTATGAAGCATGTCAGAGGAATGGTACTCTGTATGCAGGGAGAAAACTTGATGTTCTCTGAAAGAAACCTCTTTTCACAAGTGAATCTTGAAAAGTTTGATTTCTGAATAGCATTTTTATTAACTGAGTTTCTCATAAATAACTTGTTTTAAGACAGGAAGAGTGAACTAAAGGAGGGTAATCTTCAACATCCATAGCTGCAGTCTGGATAGCTGAGGTTTATGGATTTCCTTAACTTCACAGCACAGGAAGTGTTTCAGGACACATTGAAAATACTTTTAACCTGCGTGTGACAGTATTGATTTTGATGGTCAGTTCTCCCCTGCCCCAGGATTCTAGTTACAAGTTTGTACTATTGTCCCTTCAAAAGAAAGGCTTACTAAACACTAGATTTCTGTTTCGTGTTATTTAGCAATCTATGTTAATGCCAAGCATATTGATATGTGTCACTGCTGGGGATTGTAGAAGAAGCAGCTAGGTACTGTTCTAGCCGTTTGGACTTAGTACAAGGAATAACCCAGTCTGTCAGGTTTATGCTTACTTGTATTCACTTAGGAAAGAAATCAGGATGTCATTTACCTGCCTGGGTAAATGATGGCTTCCTTAATGAAGGCAAGAGGGGGTTGAGTTTGCTCTGAGATGAGCAGTAGTATTACAGGTGTGCTCAGTTGGTTTGTTGGTTTTTCTGTGTGTGGTTTTGTTTGTTTGTTTGGTTTGGTTTTGGGTTTGGTTTTTGTTGTTTGTTTTTGTGTGTGTGTGTGTGTGTGTGTGTGTGTATTTTTGATTTGGTTTTGTGTCTATTTGACCAAGACTGTCTCCATGCTAACTGAAGGGCAGTTACACTTTCATTGTTCTGCCAAACTCTGCATATTGTGGGACTTTTCTTCCTCTTGTACACTTAGGAGTATACAGTAAAACCATGTGGAATTCATTTCAGTTTGGAAAACTGGAATCAGATTGACATTTTCATAATTCCTCACCTGCCTCCTTATTATCTTCTTTTACTGCTTAGAAATCCACTTTCAAATTAACGAATACATAAAGAAAGCATTGTGGCGTTCATGATGGCAAACAGCGTTTGGCTTTTAAGTGATACGTTTGATGCTTTGTGTCCCTTCATTTTTCAAATAAAACTAAAAAGCTCCAGACAAACAAAAACTCCAGAGAAACAAAACAGAGAGAACAAACAAACAAAACCCAAATCACCTTTTCTGTGTGATTTCCAAGTTGAAGAGAGCAGCCTGGGAAAAAACAACACTTTACAATAGCAAAGGGAGAGAGTAGATCGACAACTAGAAGATGAAAGAGTTGAAATGTACCATTTGGTAGATCCTGACTTGTCAAAAACTGTAAACTTTTGGAAGGCTGGCAGGGCATATATCAATAGAAGTAGTTATTCTGCTCAGTCTTCACTGTTGTGTATAAAATGGGGTGGTTTACATGGTAGGAAATGTGTTTACTGCTGGATGTGTAGTCGTAGGAGCAACATGCCAAGGAAGGCTGAGTTGTTCTGAGAGCTTTACTATTGGTGAGGAGCTCTTACTACTTACTCCACATACATGCTTTAGTTGCCCTGTTGTTGGTGCCTGTCTTCTTATCTCTGTGAGCCTGTTCAGCTGTAACGGAATTAGATTATAAATAAACTACTGTGGGATTTTTTCTGGATAGTTTTTTGTCAGTTTAGGGAGCTTCTCCTTGCTGGGTGAACGTTGAAGCTGGTGTGCAGAAGAGGTGGGACTGCCTCACTGGCAGTGGGAGAGAATCAACTACGACTCTTAGAAGCAGTGACCTATTAAATGAGTTAATTTATAAAACCTCTCCCTTAGAGATCAGCTTGCTGATAGGAAATAAAGGATGTGAACTGTGCAAATAAGGAATTTTGCTCTTCAGTAGAAGTCAATACAAATGTCACTAAGACTTCAATAGTAAGAAAGAGTTCATTCTCAAAAATAGAAAATAAAAAAGTGTTTCAGATTTTCAGTTTCTCTCAACTTTTAACTGGAACTGGAAACAGACTTTCAGTAACATTGGTGATACTGTCATGCTGATAAATCCTGGACTTTCCAACACTGAAATGTAAAAGAAAAAACACTGAAGCAGATGCTTTTAAGTTTAACATAAAAGCTGCGTCTTTCTATGCTGTAATTTTGCCTCCAGATGGTAAGTTAAAGAAAACTGAAGTCTAGATAAATCTAGATCTGGCTACTGTAACCCAAAAGAGGATACTGAAATCCATGAAGTTGCACTGCACTCTTACAGCTATTTATTAAGGGCAGTTTTAAGTTATATGTCTAAAGGGAAACCCGCATTTTCAATTTGTGAGGGTTAGCTCTTTGCTGTCTGTTCAGACAAGATAAGCGAGGCAAGGAAGAAGGAGGGAAGTACAGGATTAAACCATCCTAAAATTGCGCTATGTGGGATTTGTTATGTCTGTAACTGTGGTTGGCTTGTTTATTTTAAAATTAGTTATTTCTCTCCATTCAGTAGAAATAAGAAATACTTTTACTTGGGTAATTTGCTAAGCTTTAGAAATGGGAATTGATGAGTTGTTTTAACTTGCAACACACAAAAAATATTGAATACCTTAACCCTGAAATGCTAGCTATTAGTTCGGTTACATGCATGGTTGAAAGCAGTGCAACAAGTTTTGCTTTGTTGGCTGGCAAACATAGGTCTATGGTCTTGTTAGCGTCCTACTTTTGTCATATTTCGAATCAGAAAGTTTAATTTATTGAGTTTGTAATTTACCATTAAATTCAAAAGCAAAAGAGTGAAATTGGCTTGATGCTGGGACATTTATCATAAAGAATATGCTGTGTAGCTGATCTTAGCAAGTAGGATAGCATCTTCATGCTGAGTTATCTCTTGCAGTTACAGTTGTGTTGTAATATGCCTTGTGAGCGAATTAGTTACAAACCTATGCTGTTCAAGAAGTGTTGCCATGCCTTTCAGATAATTTTTTGTTTATCCGTTGATGACTTAAGAAGGGTTTTAATATCTAAGGGTTGTGTTAGAGATTTGTCTTGAGACCACATATGGGGATAAGCAAGCCCTGTTGATGCAAAACTGGAGGTAAATAGCAGTGAAAAATTGGACTGATCAGTTTTGATAAGAAAGATGAGTATGAAAAGGGTATCTATGCATTTGTTGCCATTTCTTAGGCATTTTTTAAATTGCCTTGTGTGTATGAGCATTCCCTCTGAAGCTGACAGGGTCCATTAGTGCTTGTCTGCTGAATTCAGTGCAATTAAGATTTTTTCTGCACCAAATAGGTACGTGAAAATAGACACACAACCTGCTTTTCACAGGGACTGTTGCTTCTTCAGCCTGGGTCATATAGCGCAAAGAGGTGAAAGCCCTTTTGGTGTGTCCTGTTCAATCACTTGTTCTGTGTCTCTGCCGGTGGACTCTTTCTTGTTACAGTGACATCTGATTCAGTAAACGTTTGTAATAGAAGTTATGTTTAAAGTTCATTGGGATTTATGGGTTTGTAAGTGTAAATTTGAAGGTGCCTGTAACTGGTTATGGACAGAGAATGTTTGTTGAATTTGGGCCAGAAATATATTTATTGATTTATTAATATTTTTATTTTAAAGATTCAGCACAGTTAACAGGTCTTCATTCCTCTTTTATTTCACATCTTCTACTGAGTAGCAGCTTGTCACCTGCTGTTGCCTCTTCTGGTTTCTGCTTGCTTTTCAGCATTTTCAAGCTCAAATTCTTCATCTCAATATTCTTAATTAGAATTCTGTGTTGTGGTTTATCTGATGAGCAGGGCTGTAGAAAGCAGTTAGCAGCAAAACCAAAAGGACCACATCTGCCTCTTGGTATGTTGTCACAGACATTTTTCTGTCTCTGTAATGGTTTTAGGTAAATATTTGATAAAATTGTATGTCACAAGGCATTTAAAGACATGACTGTTTTGTGGTCCAACACTGCTGAGGAACATCAATCAGTTTTTGTTGTGCATCCTAATGGCTATCTTTGATTTACCCCCCCCCCCACCGCCCTTTTTGTCTCTTTGGGCTGGAACACAGGAGCTGACAAGCTGCTCTGTGCTGAATAAGTGGTGCCTTGCTGGCGCTGTCTCCCTGTGGCCCCACTGGTGGCTCTATTTTGTTTAGGTTCTCACCTTCTGGTAATAGTTCCAGAGTACTTGCTTGGTCTCAGGTGCAAAACCATCTGCGTTTAGGGTTTGTGTCCATCAGAGCATGTACAGTCCTGTTTCACATGAGAACCATACCGGAGTTACATGTAGCCTGTCCTTAGACTTTGGGCAGATTTAATGTTTCTTTTACATGGAGCAAAACCTCCTGTTTCAGAATTGACAGTTTTGAAATGTGGGCTTCTTAAAGAATTAGAACCCGACTTCAGTTTTCTTGATATGGCAGCTTGGGGTGCATGCATATACACACTGGCCAAAATATAGTTCTGTTGTACTCATGCCATGTATCCATACCTGTGTGTATCGTTTTCTTAAAGATATGGACCTTGGTGGTTGGTTACCTGCTGATGGTTTCATTCAAGTGGAATATAAGCACTGAACGTTACTTAAAAGCAGTCTCTGTCCCTGTCTGGATTATGCTTCTCTTTCACTTAGGTGAGTAACACAAAGTTATTACCCTAATATGTCTACTGGGATTCTTTTATCTTGCAGACAAAGCTATTCCCGTGCTTTTCTGCTAAATCTTCATAATGGACTCTTACCTGAGCTGTTTTTTGCAGCTGGGATCTGCAGGCTGTTTTCTCTGCTGAGTAATTCTGACTGCATGTGTCCATCAGAGAGTGTTGGAGCAGGGAATGGAAAAGCATTAAGAAAGCAGCATGTGTCTTCCACTGCTCCTGCCCAGTTTGTACTTCCCATGGCTTTCCCTTATTTGGCTCATAGACCTCGTACTTACTAGCAGTAAAGAAGGGCTAGGGTCACATGTGGGTGGATTTAGACTTGTGGTGATTTTTAGTATTATTATTTTTTGAGAGCCTTCCATTAATCGAGGCTGAAGCTGTAAAATATATTTAATAGTAGTAACAGAAGAAAAAAAAGTTTCTGTCAGTAGTTAACAAGCATACAGTGTGATATCAGCAATCAAATAAATTTGCCAGTAATCTGTATGATCTGTGAATAAAAAAATAAGGTTATAGTTAGTAATATTAAGTATTTAATATGGAATTGTCAGATTATATTATCATATCAGTTTGTGGTGGAAGTATGATGCAAATAATAGAAGAACATCATGGTAAAAGGTTTCACAGTATACTTCATGGTTAACTTTGCTTTAGCAGCAGGTTTCAAGGGTTTTTCTGACCGTGTGGCAATGCTTTCCTGAGGTTTTAAGCTACACATACTGGTTTTGCATTTGCTTACATTTTGGCAGTCTTGGCTGGAAGTACTAGCTGGAAAGGCAGAACTCAGGAAGTCACTGCTTGATGCCAGTCTGTGGACATTTAACATAAATGTAGATTGTTGGAGGTGGGAACTTGATTTGCCTCTGATATCTGACACGTTTAAATGCTTTTATTTTCTGTGTATTTTCATGTAGTTTTGCATGTGGATTTAAAAATTGTTCTTTAGATCAGCATGGTTTAAAGTCACTGAAGTTAGGAATGGTAACAGCTTGGTGTATTAATTGAGAAACTTGTTCACCTGTATTTTCTAGTCTTCCTTTCTGTGAATGTAAAAACTTGTTTGCTTTATGACAGTTTCTGTCCAGATTGTTCTTGATGTGGTTGATGTGGTGCCTTTCTTGGTTTTGCCATTTAGAGTTTATTAACAGCATAATTTTTCTTTAAAAAAAAAAAACTAACCAAAAACCTAAACAAAACCCAACCTGTGTCTTTCAGCTTCTGTGGCAGGTTCCTGGAGAATTCCTGTGTTTCTGGTTATAGTTTTTCTGATGACTGTAGGCATGTTGTATGAACAACAGAATGGAAAGGAGTCGTCTGGTAAGGAATGAGTCACTGTTTCTTTTATTGTTGGAGGCAAAAGTTTTGTAAAGTCAAATAAAAAATTCCAGACCATAAATTCAATATCATACTGATTGCAAGAATTGGTGATAAGAGTTGTAGTATGTTTCTCATGTTGAAGTGAAGCTTTTGACTCTACAGAAATTTGTTGCAATGGACTGATGTTTCTTTTCCATAACAAAGTAGTGACTCTCATTGTCAAGCTCCATAGTTTAAGTTTACAGAATCCTGCATGTAGTTTCAAGCTTAAAGCAAGCCCAAGGAATTTGAAATCAGAAATGAGCAATATGGGTTTAGTAGTTCCCATAAGACTGAGTATGAGAGAAACCGAGACAACTGTATCCAGCAAGTTTCTTGTATCCAGTCATTTTTTCTTAAAATACCACTTTTTAAAATTACGATTTATGTTTAGACTTTGAGAATAACATGTTTTGCCTGTTGTGAGTCAGTTTTACATAAAAACAAATGTCAGGTGTTCCTTTTGAGTACTACTTGTATGGTTATTTTGGGAAGCTTCCTGTCTTGCTGTTTTAGTTTTCTTGAAAATCATCATATTCTTGTTTAGTAAAAGTGATTATCTGGTATAGAGGTTTTTAGATTAATCAGACTGCCAGCAACTGTGAGTGACTTGGCTAGTAGTAGTCCATTATCAAGGAAAGTGCTAAGTAAATAATGGGTTTTGTTGGTTTTGGCTCCTGGCATATTGTAATAGTAAGTAACACTCTTTCCTGTTTGATTATATTGACTATGTATCATATATGTTAAAAACTGACAGTGTTTATCCATATAATTCTGTTGCTTGACAGTTTAAGTGGATTCATTTTGAGACTTAAGTTTTTCTTTTTTTGCGTACATGTGTGTATTTTACAGGGGCAGAGCTTCCTGGTCAGATGATTTCCATTGCTGCTTCAACAATTGCCATGGCTATTTCAATGACAGAAGACGTGTCCAGTAGTGAACATTCCTCAAAACCCTCAGGTGACTGAATACTCTGTAAGAAACATTTGAATTTGCTCTAAAGGCATTAAATTGGAGGGAATTAAGAACAAATCTCAAATTAGTTCCTATTCTATTCTTCCTGTCCAAAACAGCACACGTATACTTACCTTGTGAAACAGGTTTATCTGTTTTTAAAATGTTAAGATGACAGTAATAGAAAAGCTGTCTTGCAAATGATAGTTTACATGGCTGCCTGTACATTTAGAAGGCCTGATTAGAAGGATTTTTTATGTTTCATTGTTTTGGTTTGAGATTTGCTGGTCATTGGTTTGTTTGTGGTGGTTTGTTGTTGTTGTTTTTCTTGTTAGAATGAGAGTATCTTTTTTTTTTTGTTAGTGTTTTTATTTTTCCTAGTCTTTTTTATTTGTTGGCAGTTAAAAGACATAACTTGACTTCTGGACTGGGTACAGACAGACTGGAATGATTTTTGTGTACATCACAGTGACAAAGCCCCTCTTTGTTCAGCTACGGCATGCTCAAAAGTCTTTCTTGTAGTGAGTTTATTTGACACTGTAGCTTGAATCACAATACCTTCACTTGCAGTAACACAACTAGAAGCCTGTAAGAAATGGCTAGAAAGAGTTGATAAAAAGTCATTTTGGTGGCCATCACTGGATTTGTATGCTATCATCATTTTTCTGGGTAGGCCTTTGATGGAATTCTACACTAGAAAAATAAGCTATTATGGAGATATCTGGAAATTGAAAGATTTTATCAGTTTCCCGCAAGTAGACAAAACAGGTCATTAAATTTGACGGAATGTGAACTTACAAAAATTAGTTTTTAAGTATAAAAAAGGCAGCTTTAGACAACTTATTCTTTTCATATCTTTGTTGCTACATTTTAACATATCAATGTAAAATTTTTGACTATCATCAAAGGAAATATAAAACCCTATGGATGTATGTCCTGAAATGTGAGAACGGAGCATCATGGTGACAGTTCTCTTACATCACTGTCTCTAATTTTGGATTATTATTATTATTATTAAGATTATTATTTTAGCTGGATTTTTGAACATGAGGTCAAGCAGCACTCTTCCACAAATGTGCTGTTAGTGGTTGTGTTCTTGTTTGTTGCCCCCCTTTTTTTTGTCTTTTTTACTTAGTTACATTTTTTTTTCTTCATTTTATTTTTCCTGTTTTCATGTCCTAACTTTTATAGGCCAAAAGAAAACTTCAGTGGTTTTACAAAGGTGTCTTTTGTAGTGAAAGTGGTTTTGATTTATTTTCTTGAGACTGTCAACTAGATGGCTTTTTTGTCTTGCAAATTCTGTTGCTTTGTTTCACAGCAGGAAAAGAACAAATATGGAGTTTCCTGCTTACTCCAGCCAATAGTTTAAATGATTTTCCAAGAATCTGTTAGGAATTAGCATTTTATTCTGTGATATGTGTGAAGTATCCTTTTGGTCATCTTTGGTTTTGAACGGTGTGAATGGTAATGAAACATTATTCTTGTACAGAAAAGATTTTACCTGCCTGGTTAAGAAACTACAGCTCTTGGTTTTCCTTTGCAGTGATTTTTGGATGTTTTTTTTCTTTTTCTAAAAAATCCACTTTTAATATTGAAATTAGAGAAAGATGATTATTTGTGAAGGGTGTACTTTCATCCTGGTGTTCTGAAGGACTTTTTAATTAATAATGATAAGATCCCTGTTTCATCTAACTCTGAAGATTTTATTCTTACACCTTCTCCACAGAGATGCAGACACTTGCAACCCTGCTTATGCTGTTGTTCCTTCTTTTAATTAAAAAAGGGGAGGAGAATAATTCAGAATGCTATTCCAGCAAGAAATTGACTTGATAGAGAACATAATATATAAAGAAAAAAAGATGTCTTAAGATGGCCTGGAAAATAATCTTTTTTTTGTTGTTATGATGTTTGAATAAGTACCATACATATTGATTTTGCTAGAATTCTTTACAAGTTATTGTGTTAGCCATTTGAGAAAGACTGTCATACTTTCATTATTTGGAACACAGGTTTTTTTAGATGTCAATCTCTAAAAATATCATAAAGCACACTACATGGGGTTTTACAGAACCTGAAGTCACTATATACTGCTTTCAAATTTGTGTTCCTTTAGCACACTGTAAGCTGGATCCATTTGTTTCTATTAGTACTCTTCTACTTTGTTTAAAAATAGACTGAGCAGTACAGGGGAATGATAGGACCTCTATTATGACAAAACCACTTTATTCTTTAGGAAAACTTTTGTTTGCAGGTAACTTTATCTCCCCTTATGAAGAAAAGATACGAGTTATTTTTTCAAAGTTTAGTTTGTATGATAGGGCTGGCCTTTTATCCCTTTGAGACATGAACTGATTTACCAAGAAGCATTCCACCTGAAGCGTCTGTTGTGTTTAGCTGCTTGCAGAGCTCTTCTTTCAAGATGCATGCTCGAATTCCTTTGGAGGTATTCTGAAGTTCCGCCAGACAATCTTACCAGCAACAAGCTGATGTTTCTGTGTCATCTCAGTGTCTATCAATTGGGTTAATCAGTAGTTCTGCATTATTGTACTAGTGTGGTGGGGGACAAGTTTATAAGCTCTAAAAATAGTTCCACTTACTTGTAGAACACCAGTGCAGACTTCTACAACAAAAGAAGAGTGTTCATCCAGTGTGTGAAGCTGCAGACTTTGTCACTTACCACGACTGTACACGTATGACAAATATGTTTTGTCTTTCTGTACATTCTAGCTGCCTTGCTTTAGGGTAGGAATGGCTTTAGCGACACACGGTAGCTAAAATCACAAGTGTGGGACATGAGTGATATGCATGTAGTATATTGTAATACAGTTTTTAAAGCAGTTTTCCTTTGTGGGAGGAAGGTGGTTGGTGTTGATGTGACACAAGTCCAGAAGAAGAGTTGTTTTTATTGCTGCAGTATGTACCAACATGACAAACTGCCTTTTATTCTTCAGCATATTCTTTCATCAGCCTGAAAACTTTTCAGATTTTGTTGTGTGTGAGTTCTTTCACCATGGCTGCAAATTTTTCGCAAGTAATGGTGTGTGGGAAGTGTGTGCGTTTTGCCACCAGCATGGGGCCTCAGTAACATTAACACCAGTGTTCTTAGGAAGAGATTCTGCATAAGGCAACTGAAAATGGATTAGGTGCAACCCATACTAGATGGATTTACCAACTAAAAAATTAAATAAATAAACTGCTATGTTATCATACAAGAACTTCAATTTGGACATAATGTTTTTGCCTGAAATGACTCTTTATTATTTATTTATAAATGACTTTAACGCATCAGTTCACATTCTTGAATTGAATTTAATGTTCACTAACTTACAAATCACAGAATGAGATTTGTTACCCACTAATTTATGCTTCCTCTTGTTACTAAAATCACAGTGTGTTATGTTTGTAATGGGAGTGTTCAGGAAACTGAAAAGCATAGTAAGAAATTTGTCAATGTATGCTATATGTTTTGTTTAAATGAACTTTGAGCAAATCTAAGATTTCTTTTGAGTATTTGAAGTAAAGAAATCAAGGATTTCTTTCAAGACTTAAGATTTCATTTAGTAGTATTATTTTCAGGGTTTTATGTATCTTTGATAAAATATTTGGCTTGTAATTTATTTGCAGTGACAGGAGGCCTCTTAGAGGCTGTAGCATCTTTTTTTCTCCTCCCAGCATTGCTTGATATGGTGTTGAATGATATGGGAGAACTTACACAGCCCAATACTAGCTTTTCAAAATTGAGATCAGTGCCCAGGTTGTCCCTACCTTTTAAATAAATTGCCAAAAGAAACTCCAAAACCCAACCAAAAAAGAAGAAAAAAAAAAAGAGGTTGATTTGCCACTAGGGAGCATATTCTGTCCTGTGGTGAACATTAATGTGATCATTTCCACTTCTTTGTTTGCATTTGTTCATTTTAGGAACGACAGAAGGTGATCAGCCTCCACAAGCTTCATCATCTGTCTCCTCCTCTTCATCCTCTTCTGGGAGCAGACAAAGAGCTGAGATTGGATCTTTTCTTAGAAAAAAGAAAACTAGTGATATTTACTTTGTTACACTTGTGTGGGCCATTGTCATTGTCCAGATCTGGCTAAACTTCTGGATTGTGCAGCTATTGCCGGTGCCTTTTGCAGGTAATAATTCAGTTATTAGAAATGTATGTTTAATGATGACTTTGGATAGCCTTAGTCTTTGTGTTAAATAAGGTAGAAGGAAAGGCTTGTAAGCTTATGAGTTTTAATTTAAAATGTTTCCACAATTTTTTGTTAAGATGCTTCAAGCAGGAAGATGGATGTGCACTGTGCTACCATCTGGAGGACAACTCTGTAAAATGCTTTGTGTGTTGACTGTTGTAATTACCTGGAATAACTTAGTGACGTACATTATAAGAGTAATTTGGTTTAGAGTGCTTTGGTTTTCTTGCACTTGACGTCATGTCTTTCACGGCTTTGCACCTATGGACGGAGACTATTATGGCTGTTATTTAGTAGTGAAGTACAGCTCATGCTAACTTTTAATTTTCATTAACAATGGGTTGCTAGGCTCTGTGGACAAATCATGAGATAAATTTGATTCTAATTCTAGCTCTGAGGTTAATTAGCTTATTTGCTTCACATCTACATGCATCTGTTCTTTTATATATCAAGCAAGAATGTAATAGTTATGGTAGTTATCTAAAAATGTTATTTTAAAACTGAATGCCACTTTTCCCAATACTATTTTGGAGGATGAATAGAGAAGATGGGAACTCTGGAAATACACATAAGCTAATAAGACTCTGAAGGCATTTTCTCCTTTCCCACTCCTGTAAACAAAATGAGTTTCCTAATTTGCTTGGATTTTCTCTAAGCTTCAGTTAAAATGCTGATTTTCAGCATTTTAAATGTATTTAACATTAAATGTAGATATCTTCTGTTTTACCAAGGGCTGTCCCCAGCTAGCAGCCAAGTACCTGCAGACCCAGACAGTCTTTTCCTGTCTTCTGGTGTGGACTTCTTCCATGACTGCACCTCCTTTGAGGAGGTACCAGCTTGGGTGCCTCCTCATCCCTAAGACGCAGTCCCTTTGAGAGGTGTGCCTGCTCCAGCATGGCTCCTCCATAGGACACAGTTCCTCTGAGGGGTGTACGTGATCCACCATAGAGCATTTCTACTCCCCTGGCCTCTTTATTCCTTCTGTTCCTTTTTGGTCTCTACTCACTTGTTCTTTCTGTGTTCTGTCCTCTTTTCCTGCTCTACTGTTTTCTGCCCTTTCTTAAATGTATTTTCGCAGACCCACCGCTTCTGTGCCTGATGGACTCAGCTTTGGCCTGTGGTGGGCCCATTGTGGAGCCATCTGGACTAGTTATGTCTGGCACAAGACAGCCCCTGGTCTTTCCCCATAGAGGCCACCTCAGTGGCCATCCTGCTACCAAAACCTTGTGATTTACACCCAATACACAAAGACATTATTGTTTAGTTGTGCATATGGAAATAATTTCTGTGGGGCCATGCTTACAGGTTTGAGGGGCTGTTAACTCTTAAGAGGCATGGTGAAAGGAACAACTGCGTGTTTGGCTGTCGCACTGTAGCAGCAGCTAAAGGGTAGTATGATGGTTAGGCATATAAATGACTGAATACAGGCAAGAGGAGAGGGGTTTGAGCTTTATTTCATTCCAGTGTAGTTGCTACAGAAGAAACTGCCTGGTTTTGCTGTTTGAGCATCATGGGAAATTGTGATGGCAGGTTGGATGTAGCTCATAAATAAATCATAAAATGATAAATGGATTAGAAAATAAGTTTTTAGTCCTTCTAGAAGCAGAGCTTATGTGACTTAATTTATTGAAATGTCAAGGGGTGACCTGCCACTGTTTGAAAACACCTACTTGGGTGGGAGAAAAAAATTGATGCAATAGTTTTGCATTTAAGCAGACAACAGTGAATGGTTTTAAGCTTGAGCCAGACGAGTATAGATGAAAATGCACATCTGTAACTGAAATGGATGAATACTGTTGTGCCATTCATTAGGTCTAAAATAGCTACGCAAACAATAAAATTAAGCCAGTATAGAAATTGATTATGAAAATATTTAGGAGTTGTTGTCGTAACAGTGAAACTGGATCATTAAGTGCTTTTTCTTGGCATATAACTGAATATAGCTAGATCATCACAAAAATAGTATTAAAAGGCAGTATAATGATGAATACAGATTTAGAAGAGGGAACACATTAAGTGTCAGAAGGTGAATGAAATGATGATAAGCTGGATTGTTAAAAGAGAGGTGGCATTAAAAATACTTAATAGCAGAAAATAGGAAAGCTTATAAAGCAAGTTTCCTTGCAGCTGTTCAAGTTTTAAAGGACACTAGTAACTTTAAGCACTTCTGAGACATTAAGGGTAACACTTCTTGAATGTAAATAAAATAACTCCCTAAAACCTTAAATAAAAAAGTATTCGTTTCACCAGAATTCCTTATGTCTGTAGACAGGACTTATATGAAGTAGAATTTAGATTATTAGAAATATCTTGGTAGCATTAAGAATTTTCCTTTAATGCATTTGTACTTTGGTAGAATTAGAAGCTCTTTCAAAATGGCTTTATGTAGAGGGTGGAAAAAGTATACCATAATTATATCATAAAATGAAATGGTGAAACAATGACTTTTGAATTCAAAAAATTAAGCAATAAGCTAGGTTGTGGAACATTTGTAGTATTTTGTTCAGTGGTGCGAGGTTGGGAATCCTGGTACTCTCTCTTTTTAAGAGCTTTCATTTACTACTTTGCTTGTTCTGTTGCATCATACTGTTAATTCTGTTTGTCTTCAGGTAATTTTCTGCTTCCTGGAAACGTTTGGAATGTCTTATGCAGCCTTCCTCTTTTGCTCACAACCTTGTAATAACAGTCCTCCTTTAGCTTTTTCACTCTTCCCCTTTCTAACCTAATGTAATTATGACTGTGTGACTCATTGGTGCTCCTCCTGACGTTACCTTTACAATGAGTGTACACTCAGTTATTTTAGAAGATATTATTTAAACTTTTAAACAATAGCAGAAGGTTAGAAAGCCATTTAAGGAATGTTGTTCACCTTGTAAAATGCAAGCTTGCCCTGTTTTGGTGAGCAGCAGTTTGTGTATTTACCATGAGTTGCATTTCATCATATGAAACGTCAACCTGTAAGTTAGGTGCTGGCACTCATTATTATTTTCTTCTATTTTGTACGTTTGCAACATGATCTTTAGTAGAAAGGTGATTATAATATAGTATTTCTTCAAAAGAATAAATCCCGTATTTGCCACATGGTGGTGCCAGAGGGTAAGTAAACCACACATTCGCGAATTGTTGCATGAGCTCTCTATGAACAAGAAGGTGAAATATTGTGCAAGTGGCTTACAGATAATAGGCTTGTGTGGAGCTTTAATAAATGCACTGTTACTAAATTCTGGTTTAAGAAAAAATGGGGAGAAATTTGGAGAATTACGTGATTCTGTGGCTAGTAATTTCACTTTGTTTTCCTTTAGAACAATTGTTTTCAGTATTTGGGGATGTGGTATAATTTTGCTTAAAGATTTGTGTATCAGTTGATAGCAGGACTGGGTTGTGAGAGACTTTCCGGTCTGTTACTGCTACATAAAATAATCGTAATCCTTTATGTATCTTGTAATTTTTCAGTGAAATCAGCTGTAATACAAATCTTTGTTTATCATGTGAATTAACTCCTGTGTTCTGATGTTAAATATGCTAGTAGCTTTGGAAGATTACTGTTTTCTTCTCAGTGATGAAAAGGTGGATAATTTGAGAGGTGTAGCATTTTGTTAAATAAAAAAAGAATATGGCAAATATTTCATGACTGTTAAAGGTCTATTAGCTTCCAAGGGAAGTTTCATATGTATCATGCTGTTCTGCTTTTACATTCCTGATTGTGATGATTCACAACTTTTGCACATACGCTCAGTAAGCAAGCGAGCACAGTGCCACTGCAAAATTGGAATCACAAGCCTTATGCAAAAGTCTCTGGGCTTTATTTCATGACAGCTAAGCAGACATGAGCTGTGTATTTCTGTAAATATAAGGCTAGACATTTCTAGTGTTGTTGAGAAGCTATTTTCGAGTGGATTTGTTAGAAGTGTTGGAGAAAAGCTCTTTCTGGTAACAAAATTCTTCTTTTTGCGGAGAAGTTGTAAATATTTCTTGTATTTGTCTGTTTTTGAGGATCATTGTGGATTTTTTCTGAAGCTTTGTGTGATCATCTTCAAGCCAAGATAAAAGGCTGATCTCAAAATAATATTTTTGATCTTTAAAAGCAAAATTAATCAGTAATTGTATTTCAGTAGTTGAAGGTTTAAATGAACACTACTGTGAAATGACACATAATCCTCTGTCAGTTCTTAAAGGAAAGATACAGCTTTAGCTCTATAGAAGGCCTAGAATGTAAGAATTGAGTCTGAAAATTTTATTATATGTATAATAAACCATTAAGTTCTGGATGTGGTATTTTATATGTAGTCATCTGAGGTGTTGTATATGTGAAGATGCATAAATCCACTGTACTGGAATCATGGCATGGTACCTGCTTATCCCAGGCCTTGCTCAAATGGGTTAGCTGTATAATAGGTAGTGTGCAGGCATCTTTCTTCTGCTGCCATCCACATTGCATATGGACAAGCATGGTTGTAAAGTGAATGAAGAGAGTAGTACTAAAACCACTTGAAAATTTTGAAAGTGGTTCCTAATGGGAACTAAAACTCAAGAATCCTTTTTTCTTTTTATAGGCCTTGTGATGTGCTCCTCTGAAATCTCTAATACTTAATTTCCTTCTTGTGGTTACAGTTTGGGCACTTAAAAAGCTCGTGGTTCATTTTGGAGTTTTGAACTTCATGGCAAGCCATTGCAAAAGTTGGTGGCAACTTGTTGAAAACTTTGTGAAGGAACGTCAGGAAGCTCTTGCTCCACGGCCCATCAGAGGGCTTGGAAGAGTCATGTTAAAGCTTGACAGTAAGGTATTTCCACTTACTTCCTTAAGCAACTTGATTTTTATTTATTTTTTTTCTCTGTTCAGTCTATGCTGAGATATTTTAATTCTAAAAATAAATGTCTGTCACTAATGGACACGTCTCTCATGTGAAACTGTATCTGTTTTATGGTGTGTTTTAAACCATGTCTCTTCTGTCACTATTCACTCTTAAAGTACACGTTTAAAATTTGTTCAATGACTACATGCAAAGCTTGACAGAAATCACTTTTTAAAGGTTGAGCTAGCTTTAGGAGATTTCATATCTGAGCAAGGCAAACTTCTTGTGGTTCAGACATCTTACCTGATTACAAAAATAATGAAGTTAAGTTTGATGAGCTTTAATCTGGAGGATGAGATGTTCCTAATTCTGTTGTGAAAGTGTAATCTAAAAACCAAGCCATTTTATTCTGTAAGTAGGGCCTGAGCTAGATAAAACACTTTTGTACTGTGTAGAATTATACTTGTTGAACACGGTGGCATGTTGATACAGAAGGAAGGCTTTCCTTTGTAAAAGAAGAAATATGTAGCATAAGGTATTTGGGAAGTACCATAGAATAAAGCTTAGGTTCTCCCTTCCCCTCTCCCCCGGTCAAAATGCACCCACATTTGCACTGTAAATTGCAGAGCTGGAAAGCTCCACACAATTTAAGAACACTCCTTCATTTAGGATTGTGAGCTTTGCCTTTACTTGATATATTATTTTGTTTGTAATAGCTATGTCAGTGTGCAAGAATGTGCTTTCTGTCACTGTGTGTTGAAGTATTCTCTGCTTTAGAAAAAGCTGTTACCTCAGAGTTTCTATAACTGAAGAGCTGAACCCTAGAAGTGCATTTGTCAGAGCATCTGTATCTTGGCAGATCCATCAGCAGATTATAGCTTTGAATTCCTATAAGAAAAAGAAGAGTTTAAGCCCAAATCTAATGGGTAAATGGATGTCAAAAGGTCAACAAAAGTGTTAAAATGGCTGTAGGAAATAAGTAACAATCTCACAGCGTTCATTGAAGAAGAATTTGAAAAAGCCTTTCAATGTGGCTATGAACAAGATAAAAGGGGGTTTCCAAAGGTAGTGGAAATTATTAACGTGGGGATAACGCCTTACATTATACAAAGCTTTTCATGAAAATGTTTTGTAAGTAATAAGAATTTCGAGACACAATATTATATGTATTTCATTAGTTGTTTAGTATCCTTGTATTGCATAATTAAGCAATGCCATATCCTTCCTAATATCACTAAGTCTTTTCTCCTTAAAGAAGGTAGGGCTTTTGTCATACTGTGCAACAGAACTTTCCACTCTTCAGCTTAAATGTATTTAAGGTCAGTTTATATTCATGTTGTTCCTGTCTGAGCAAAAGAACAATGTTGGCACAACTCAATTCTCCATATACCCCCTCCCCATTTTTTAGATGATAGTCATATACGCCTTCTGAGTCTGTGCTGTGTGTATTAAAGCAACTGAAGCTCTTCTAGCCATTATAAAGACATTTGCTAGTCTGCATGATTCTACTTGCTTGTGCCTATTCTAATTACAGTTCACCTGGCTTTATCATGGGTGGCTGGAATTATATATGGTCTTCCAATGCTTATTACACTAATGCTTTTGTATCTTCAAAGTTCTATTGGATATGCTTGTTCTGTGCATTGTAGGATCATGGATGAATCTTACCTTGTGAGAATTTGGGAAGCAATGCCATGGGATATTGTCAGTTCTGATATTTGCAGGGACAGGGAAAGGAGAGGAAAGAAAGTAACATCCTTGCAGGTCTTTTTAGGAAGTTTTTTAGGAGGAGCTGTATTGAAGTTGGATTACCAAACGTTTTAGCTTCACTAGGCACTGTTAAAGAAGCAGTAAAAATATACAAACACAAAGTAGAAATCCATGGAGTAAATTGTTACAGCTTACATTTTGTGCTTGTGCATGAGAGAAACCAAGATTGAAAGATTATTTCCTTTACAATTGGATATTTATTTTTTATGTATATATATATATATATCTATATATTTGTGGTTTTTTTTCCTGAGCTGAGTCTCCTTTTGGTTTTGGTCTTTGTATACTGAGTTGACTGGAGGTTGAATCTCAGCATCAGAAGGTATGGGGCTTTTAGCTAAGTACAACAAGGCATTGACAAAGGTCTGTGTCACACACATATTTGGTGGTATTACTTGGTCTTTCTAAAGTTGTATGCCTGATTAAGAAATAGCTCTGGTTTTGAGTAAAAGGTAGTGAGAATGAAGAAGACCTCTTAGAGTAGCATGTCTTCCTCGAAGCTTAGGAAGCTAGTGTAGATGGTCTGGAAAATAATCCATTGTGAGAAGTGGGAGAGTACTGCTCATGCATGCCAGTATTTGAGTTTTGCTGGTTATGTTTCTTAAATAAAAGGAGGAAGAAAAGAATGTTCTTTCCCACTACTTACCAACCTATGGGTATCTTGGAAATGCAGAAAAATTTGAACTGAAGAGAAGTTCTGATCAAGAGGAAAGAAAGTAGGGAATTGCTTTTAATTTCCTGTATAGACAGTGCGTCAAGCTGTGCCTGCCTATATGTGCAAGCCTGCTTTAAATACAGAGTATGGAAATAGGATGTTCTTTAGTCCCTAGTGGTTCATTAGAGCCATGGAGCCAGCAGACAGAGCAGTTCAGATACGAGAGACTTCCTGGGGAAAGAGTAGAGAGGTTTCTGTTGTCATCCATCACTCATCTTAAAAGTTAATAGATATGGCATCATGCATGTTCTTACAAAAGTCAGGAGCAAATAATTTGCTTCACTATTTTTTTATTTTTTTTTAAAGAAGGCTTTTCATATGGTGACAGTAGCTTTATTTTGATTAGGGATTGTGAGGGAGTTCAGCGTAGGCACTTGCTCAAGTGCAAGCACTAGACATTTTATTAATTAGAATGTGCTAGTATTTTGCATGCATGCTTTCTGCTAGACTTCAGCGAATCTTGTAATTATTATATGCTTTTTCTTGGTATAGTGTACTGGAATTTTATGTGTGGAGGACTGGAATAGATTGTTTAGACTTTGGGGAAAGTCAAGGTTTGGTGCTTCTGGTACCAAATTTAGCACATAGTTAAACCAATCACCGAAAGCGGGCACAATCTCTACCAGTTCATACATTAGTTTAGGAAATACTCCCGTAAGCATGTAAGAACTTACATAAGCACCTTTCCAACAGAATACTGGAAAAGTGGCTGTAGCCTTATTAATTTTGGATGACCTGAAGGTTATAATTAAACTGTAGCCCCTTTTTAAGTGTAAATTGATTACATTTCTAGAACTACGTAAACACCAGTACTGGTAAGATAGCAGGCAGGTAGAGCCTCCCAGATATTGTCTTAAACATTAATAAAAGAATATTTTTGACATATAATGCTGTTTTGTAGTTACTGTATTTATCATCTGATTTGAGGAGCCTGAAATTCTAGAAAACTGTCGAAGATTTCCATTTATATTCTGCTAAAATCTCAGGCTAACAACAGAGCTGTAGCTTTTCTTGCATTGGACTTTCAAAATGGAGATATTTGGCTATGAGATTTACATTTTTACCAAAATGAACCTAATGTATAGTGTTTTTTAATACACAGGAGTAAAGTTAAAGGCAAAAGTAGATTATTGAATTGGCAAAAAAATTCACCTTTTTTTCATTGATAAATTATTCCATAGGTGAAGAGGTAAAATAGAAACAAATTCTGCAGTGTCAGTTTAAAGCTTTTGAAGCTTTGTCATTGCTTTCCATGACTGATTCTTTCCATGAGTAGTAAAAGCTAATGAAAGTAGGTGCTTTGTAACATTTTATTCTCATGTTTCCTGATGTTCATGTTTCTTTGTAAATCTGCTTCTTGCTTCTGATAATAACTTAATTAACTTTCTGGGTTTCTTTTAATTTTAAATGTTCCTACATTTTGTTTTCATTGGGAGGTAATGTCATTTCTGGCAACTGATGAAAGCACTAGATTTACTGAGCATTCAATGATCTTGTTTTTCAGGGAGAAACAAATTTCGCTTGCTTGATCTTAACCTCTAACACAGATGATTAACAATATTAAAGCTTTTCACAGTTTTGATTTTGCTGCTGATTACTAATAGCTAGAATTAACAGTATAGCCCTACATAAACTAGTTCTTAAAACGAGTGTACTTGAGCAATATGGGTAAGAATTAGTGAAGAAAAATAACTGTAGTACAAAAGGAGAAACTGACTCTTGAGAAGTGCAAAGAGCCTTCTGCACGACCAGTAAAGTTAGGTGAAATCCATACATTTATTTGATCTAGAATGTGCTGTGTATGTCAGATTTAATTACATATTTGAAGTTGTCATTGAATGTGAATGTTGTAATAAATGTGGTACTAAAAAAGCCAGCCAAAATTTGTCTAATTGTAGATGACATAATAGGAGTGTTTTGAAATACAGAGGAAAGAGCCTGAATGGGAGCACTAATGAAATAAACAAGTATCTCATGTTAAGTCTTCATGTTTTGCTAAAGTGCCCTTCTCAGAGTATGTTTACAGGTCCTGCTCTGAAATTTGAAATGTTAGCTCTTAGTATAATTAAACTGGAATTGCCCAGATTATGCTGATGGCTCTGTTAATACCATTAAATATGAATTGTTATTTGTTCTATCCCTCTTTGTTTCAAATAGTGCATGTTAATAGTAAAGTCTCGTATCTTGCATTAGAAGTTGTGATCTTTTCTTCCTATTGCAGTTTACCTTTTGTGTCTGGAACAATTTCATTTTCATTGTCAATGACTTTGCCTGCCTCTCATTGCTTTTTTCCCCCTTTTCTATTACTGCATTTTTCAATAATTTTCCACTGTGTTCTTGTCTTTTTCTTTTTTTTTTTTTTTCTTTTTCTTCCGTCTCCCCCTGCCACTGACAAGCTGTGGCACTGGCTTAATAAGAAGGTAAATAAACAGAAAACTTGTGATTCCAACTAATGGATTCTGTGGTTTTGGGGAGTTCTTTGGCTTTTTGGTGTTTTTGCAGCATGAACACTACTTAACATGCCTTGCTTCTTAGTTTTCTCTCCCAAGTGTCTCATCCAGCTCTTGATATAAGCTACTGAAGGTCATAATTCTACCTGATCTCTTGACTTGTAAATGAATGCACATAGCTAAACGTTTTGTACAGCAGAATATTGCATTAGCATTTCAAGGAGCAGTTTGATTTAGCGGCGCTTTTATTTAAGAACAGTTGATCCCCACCTGCTCCCCACTTGTATGCATGACAAATCCAGTTCCCTCCTGGACTGGAGAGCTGTCCGCTACTCAGAGAAAGCATCAGTTAACTGAATTTACGTGGGAGTGATGAAGGTGAAGTGCAGCTGTAAAGCAGTGAGTGTAAGTGATCACAATAGTGCACTGGCTAGCTTCAGTCAGTGCTGTTAATTTTTCACTTTTGAAGTGTCAAGCTGGCCTGTATACTCAGTGGTATTCAGTGTAGCAGGAGCAAAATGAGAATACGAACGGTCTCAGAACTTTTGAATCTGAGGACAGTCCTAAGGGAAGTGAGGGCTAGCAAAGAAAAAAAATAAAATTAAAGGACTTGGTACAGGTAAAATATTTTTTTTTTCTTTTGTGTGGCTTTAAAAGTGTGATGTGTTTTATAAGAAATACACTCCTTGGTTCCCATGGTTTACCTGAGCCAACTAGGGTTACCTACTTTATTTTTGAGAGCTGACATAGAATCATAGAATGGTTTGGGTTGGAAGGGACTTTATAGCTCATCCAGTTCCAACCCCACTGCCGTGGGCAGGGACACCTTTCCACTAGACCAGGTTACTCAAAGCCCTGTCCAGCCTGGCCTTGAACACTGCCAGGGATGAGGCAGCCGCAACTTCCCTGGACAACCTGTTCCAGGGCCTCACCACCCTCACAGTGAAGAATTTTTTTTTAATATCTAATCTAAATCTCTCCTCTCTCATCTCAAAGAGAAGTTAAAACTCATTCAGTCCATGTTTGGCCTCACATGTAATTGAAATCTGGACAACTCAATGCAGTGATATTTCCCGGGGACTTCGGCAGTGTCATTGCTTCAAGCAAGCACAGAGCTGGGGAACCATGCCTGCAACATGTGCATTTGTAAGACCTCAGAGTTTTAAAGGTGAAAAGACTAGGATGTGATAAAATATATGGAAACAAAGTAATTAAGTGAAAGAGAAAAAATCAAATACAGTATCTGGAAATGAGTTACGTTTCCAGCACCAACTTTTATCCTCACCACTTCAGTATTAGTGGGAAAGTCAGCATAGTTGCTATGGTTTTATAAGCAACAACCCATCCTTGCCATTCAGTAGCCAGTACAATAGAAACTATAGATCTGCCTTGCATGTGGTGGAAGATACCAAAAATACTGTCACTCTGAACAGTGTTGAAGAGGAACAGAGTAGAGCATGGGGCCATTGGCACAACTCTCTAAAAGTTTCTTGAGAACAATGAAATGGGGCTGCACAGCTGTTATCTGCTGTGGGTGGCAGATGGGCAAGAATGCGGCCTGTAGTGTCCAGGCTGAGCAGCTATAATGAACTTAGAAGGTTTGATCTTCATTAAACTCAGTGAATTTGATGAGTAAATTCAGCATTATGTGATGGGAGGGGGAAGGGGAGAGCTTTCTGTGTTTCTGAACAAGAATGTAGAGTTGCTCACTTCATCATTGAGTTGTATTTAAATAGTGAATTCAGTTCATGATGCAGTTGTATCTGTCTATTAAGAGGGGATTTTTTGAATGTTTTGTTGTTTTAAGATGACATTTTTATTTCCTGACTTGGAAGTGTTTGTGTTATGGGAGTGACTTACAATTAGCAAATATGTGCAACCATAACCCTACATAAAATTTTTTTATTAGGTATTGGTTTGTTAGCGCAGTTAGGCGAAGAGCTGAGTTCAGTGAGCCGCAGGTGAAACTTGAGTCTCAACTCCTTTTTTTCTGGCTCTGAGTTTGTAATCTTCTTGTTTGAAAATTCATGCATGTGGCTTTTAATTTTTTTAATTAATATTGATAGATTGCAAAAATAATTTCACTGTAATTGCTTTAAAGTCTAAAATGTCTGAATTTTGAGCTGAGATTTTCATTACTGGGCAAAACTGCAGGTACAGTTTCTTACCAGAGTTATTTCTTGATTCCTAGGAGCTATTTTTCAAAACTGTTGTTCTATGTTATATCATAGGAAGAGATCCTGAAAATCCTATAGTGTTACATGCAGTGCTGACTTCTGTTGCATGAGCAAGTAGTAATAATATTATAATCAAGATGGAGGAAAAAAACCCCAACAAAAATCCCAAAACACCCCCCCCCAAAAAAAGGCAAAAAAATGGTAAGCAGACTGTATCAGGTTCTTATGAGTTTGTTTTGTTCTTTCTTTCTTAAAAAAAAAACAACAAACCAAACACCAAACAACCTAGATTAAATTAAAAAAAAAAAAGCAATCATACTTTGCCAGAGGCAAAGAAAGAAGATTTGTAATACAGAACACTGGATGCAGTTAAAAGGTTGATTCCTTTGTACCTTTTTCCTTCTTGCTGGTCTCTGAAGGGAAGTATTGTGAGAACACCGAGATAAATTTGTGTTACTCTACCAAGAAAGTAAAAATACACCACCTAGAGACCTCAGCTTGGAATGACGGCTGGAATGATTATGATCGATAGTGAGAAACCCTTTCTTTTCTTCCTGTTCTAAGAGCTTCTGTCAGACTTGCTAAAAATTTTTTATTTTTAATTATTATTATTCTTCTGGCAAACAAGAATAGCATATGCTCAAATAGTTTAGCAAGGTATATGTAGCCCAAAACATAGAATAGATTCGTTTGGGCTAGCATGATTTGTTCCTTATAACATTGTCTATGGCTCAAGTCCTTGGAGAGAACTGCCAAATTCTGCTGTAGCTGTTGGGGGGACACTGGTGTAAGTAGACCGAGACCTTATATAGCCTGTTCTCTATCTTTTTTAATTTACCTACTAATGTGACTCATTTCCACAGAACCCTGAGATGTGTCCTGGTTACAGGCCTCCCCTTATTCTCATCAGATGATATTAATAAGATGATACCTTCAAATATTAACTGGGCTAAAAGGAAATGTCAGCAAGTCTAAGAAATGTCTTAGATAGATATCCTGATAGTTAGTGAAGCTGTCTGAAGAAAGAAAATAGTGTATTTTGGCAGTTTTATGTAGATTTAATTGAAAATGAAGTAGATGTCTAGGTATGCTTCATCGTGTGGGCAATGCAGTAAATAAAACATACTAGAAAAACTAGTGCTCTGATGGCTATGCAGCGTGAAAGATGAAAAAATGAATTCTTATACATGTAACATGGAGAATCTGTCTAGATAGTAGGATTTCCGATTGTTAAGCATGAACTGTAATTGTATTATAGTCAGTTGTATTACATATGATTTTGTATCATCACCTAAAAGCTGAAAGAGGGAGTATTTGCAAATTATTGAGAAGCATTTTAATGGAGTGCAACTCAACCTAAAAGCATTTTTTTACAGTGAGCTTAATTAAAAAAAAAATAATTAAAAATTGTTACCTTTCCCTTCAAAACTGTGACAATTAAGGATAGTTTTTTTTGTGGACTTCACAAATAAGTAACATTTCAGTTGGTTTTACAAGTGTGACCTTCTGTAGCTTAGGAGCCTGGCTTTCCTTTACCTTTGTGTTATTTTGGATGATACGGCAACATCAGCTTTCTGTTGTTGACTAACCTTTAGATTAGAAGCTTGGAACTGAATTTAAAACATCATGATCTTTGGCTAATGACTGGTGCTTAGTCAGTATATGTTTGTCTTTGTGTGCATGCCCATGGTTTACAGGGAGGATGTAAAGGGAGGTCTGGCAGGTTTGGGGTAAGAACGAAGTCCGGACCTGCTTCAGTGGTAAGTACAAGCACACAGGGATTTAACAGACTAGCTTACCTGCAGTAACATAGCACCTATACAGTATTTAGTATGAGTGTGCAAAGGTGAGTTCTTCTGAAGAAAGTATTGTGGGTAAGTGTAGGGGAAGGAAGGGAGGCTTAATAGCAAACAAATTAAAGGAATGGTAAATATAGCCCTAAGTGAATATTGTGCATCTGCTTATACAATACTCGGTCCAGTTCAGTGTTCTTTGATATGTATGTACCAGTCATGTAACCTGGATCTCCTTAGGACTGTGGTGAGAGATGTAATTGCAGTACCTGTAGGCATACCAGAGCTGGCTTTTGTCTGGCTTCCTTGGGCTACCTGCCCAAGTAAATAAACTCAAGGTGTGCCTGCATGGCTGAGGCTGCTGCTTTTTCTGGTACATCAGAGCTACCATTACTTTACTAACTAGTTTAAAGGTAATTTGGGCTTCACATGTGCTGCAGCTGCACCTCAATAGCAGTGTAGGCATACTCCAGCCCACAGTAAGGTGTGTCAAGGAAAGATCTGCTGTTCATCATGCTCTAGTTCAGAGAGAGTCCTCATCCTAATCTTCTGGTGCTGATCTTCTAGTAGTTGCTACCATGGTGAAACACCTAAGCCATACAGCTTTAGCTGTAGTGGGATTTCAGCTGTTGCATACTATTCACACAAACGTTGAGGCTAGCATTGTTTGAAATCTCTGACACTACCTCCATTTCTTGCATTCAGTGAGTCTGATTAAGATGCTATATGCAAGACTAGCTAGTGGATTTCTTTTCTCTCTAACTTAGAAGATAAATTGCAATTAGTTTGAACTTTGTTAACTAGGAAATAACAGGGGCAGCTTTAATTTTTTATAGCTTCATTTTGAAGTCCATGCTATAAAATTTCCATCCCTAGGCCACCCAGTGTTTTTGAGTGATATTTTTGATTTCTGACCTTTAAAGCAGGGCCTTTTATTTCTTGCTTCTCTTGCATAATCCTTAGATGGATGTGGGGCTTGGAAGGGCACAGCAAATCCTGTTTACAGTCTTATTTCTAAAGTGCTGCATGTAGAGGCTACTCAGAGTTTTTCAGAAAGCTGTAGTACTGCTGTAGGCAGGTAAGCTCCCTCTAGCACTGGCAGGGCATTTCTGATGGCTGAAATATTTCAGCAGTGCCAAATATCAAAGAAAAGATTTTGCAGATTCTTTCAGGTTCTCTGAATTCCTTTCTGCAGGTCACAACACAGTGCAGATTTTGTTACAGAAATTTGCTGGCTCAACACCTTGTTTCTTTTAAAAGGATTTTGTTTTCTTCCAGCTTTCTTCGAATTGAACAGCAGTTCTAAAATGCTGAATATACTCTTCATGTTAATTTGGATCAACAAGAAGCTAGTTGTTAAAGAACTTGAAGTTTGAAAATAATTGCTTAATATATATTAACTGCTGAGATGCTACAGGATGAGCACCAAAAAACAAATCCTTGCCTTTTATTTTTTTCCAAATAGGGGATAGAACTTCATTGTTAGCTAGCTCAACTCTTTTACAGCAGTCTGCAGAAGTTCCTGGGGCAATTACACATGTCCAGAGAGGGTAGATAAGAAAGGACCAGTGTAAACCATCTTCAAGTGTGTTAATAGTTTTGTAAGATCTCTAACTAGAAAGTTACTAGCCTGATCACTGAATATAGGACTTGTAGTCACTTGAAAATACTTTCATCTACTGCACACTGGCTTTGACCTCAGTTCTCTTAAAGCACAAACTTTACATCTGTCCTGCTGCTTTTTCCTGCAGTAATGTCAGATGGAGTAGAAAGAGGTTTGGTATTTGAACCATAGAAGCTAGAAAATTGTATTTGATGATACTTGCTTGGGCTTTCACAGATTTTTTTTTTTTATGTAAATAGCAAGTTTGTGTACAAGATGAAGCTCGTCTTGCACTGTTCCAAAGCACTCTGCAGAGTCATGTGGCTGTGAAGGTCTATTGTTTTGAATAATACTATCAGAATTTCTCCAGTCTTAAGTGGTATACCGATTTGTTTGTGGACATATATAGAATGGGCCTTTCCATACCCTAATGGAACAACATATATGCCTGTTTCCTGCATCAGTAGGTTTAGCTGAGGCATGTTCAATGCTGAGCATCCTTTTGAGAGTAAAAGTGGATAGAAATAGTTGGTGCTGAATAATCGGCCTGATGTTCAGTAATGTAGAAAACCTCTAGCCCCCTTCCAGTTCAGAAGGTAATAGGCAGCTTTAAAAAATTGGTTACTTGTAGAAATACCCATTTATTTTGTTTAGATACATGTAAGCTAGTCAGATTTGAAAGTCAAAGTTGTACTTTACAGCATACCTTGATAGATTTCAAGTCCTGTGCGGATAGTGTCCGTGAGTTTCCAAGTTGCTGAAGGACAAGAAACAAAGACAAGTTTCTAAGTTCATAGCTGACATGAATGCTAGTTTCTTTAGGCCTAGTAAGTAGATGTTGAATTATTGCTTGCTTTGCAGAGAGCTTGCTATGTCTTGTGGTAATGTGTAAATGTCGTTTGCAAAATCACATGTCACACCATGACCTTAATCATGCTAACATCGCTTGTTAATTGTTCATCTCCAAGCTTGGGCATAAATGCGGTTTGTTTAGAGCTTGATTTTGCACTGTGATTGTAAATAAAGGTAACAATACTGTCATGTAGCATATGGCATTGCTTTCATGAAAGATTGATTTATATGCTATGATTTGGTTTTTCTTTTTTCTGCACAGATGATCGTGTGGTTGGAGAAAATGCTAGATAAAATAATCAGCATTTTCATAATATTTTTGCTAGTAATAGGAACCCTTCTGCTAGCCCTGCTCCTTACTGCAAAGGTACTGTGTGCTAAGTAACATAATCATAGAGTTCATTTTAAATGCTGAATGGAGGTTACTGATGTTTATGCAGAATTTTGTAGCTTGAGGACTTTTTTGTGATTTAGCAACTAAATGCTTTGTAGTTTAAGGTGTTACCATTCCAAGATTTCTTACATATAAAGATCTGTATATTGTATTTATATGTTTATTTAGATATATGGCAAAACAAGTATATAGGCATTTGGAAATATGAAATTTATTCTAGCAAAAGAAATACTAGCTTATATGTTATAGGAACAGATTTGGTTTGCATCCTGTTACACTTTCCATGTCAACAAAAGAGTTACTTAGATTTTTTTCTTTTTAATTTACCTTGATCATGAACATCTTTGCAAAATGCTTAAGGTTTATTTATCAGTTTGTTTGTGTAATTGCCTGTAATAACCTCATAGTATCCTGTTCTGAATTTAAATGTGCTGAGGTTCATGATCGCATACTCTCTGAAGTTGATTTTTGGTTTGTGGTTGGGTTTTGGGTGGTGGGTTTTTTTTTTTTGCTCACCAGAAGAGGTCACTCATGTACTTTTTTTTTCCTCCTTGTGTTTTGTTTTGTTTTTTTAATGGGGCTGTTTCATACTTGAAACAGTCAATGAAGAGTGGAGATTGAATGTTTGACTTGAATACGGTTGCAGAACAAAAGATCAGTGGGTTCTAATGCAGCCTCCTTTTTCCAAAATGTAGGCTTGTATAATGTTGAGTACTTAAAATTGAAAGCTTTAAAAGTTGTGCAAACATTCCTGCCTAAAGCTTCTTTATATTCATAAAAGGACCATTAATGTATTTATAAAAGGTGTCTTTCATCATTCTTATTGAAGAATTAATTTGGTGAAGCACTTCACAGTATGATCGGTCATGTTAGAGCTGAGCATTTATTAACTTTTACATTTCTTTGATCCATGGCTTAAAAAGATATATCTGAAACTGTGCTTTGTATTTTTTTAGTGCTTCCCTTGACCGTGCTGCTGTATTATTAATTTTTTTTCCACTGATAAAATTTAAATTTCCATTTGCTATTGCTAGTCACACAGTGTGTGACCAAAATTGTCAGAACAGAGTGATGGTTATGGTATTGGCTGCTTTATTGGGGTTAATGGCACCTAATCTTTCATTGGGTTAACCGAACTTCCAATTCTGCGTTGGAAGAATTCTTCCTGAAACTGGTGGTGTTCCTCCCTCCCACCCTCCCCTCCTTCAGGAAAAAAAGGGGGGGAAAAAAAAAAGAAGCCTCTCTGAATGTAGGAAGAGTTCCTGTTTGCATTATGTAACATTTCTCCTTTCTATATTTAATTTAGGTACATCAAGAGAGTGTTCACATGATTCAAGTCACAAGCAGCTTGATCAATGAGACAGTAGCCAGTCACCCAGAATGGGCAAAGTAAGAATGCTGAAGTTAAGCGAATAGTATAGGGTGGGTGAACAAGTTTCCAGGTGCTCTTATGCATAATTTTTAATATAAAGATCCCTTAGGTGAACAAAAATGGGAGTGACAGTTACAGGCAGATGTAAAAGGTAAACTCACAGGCAGCAGTAGTGTTTATGGATTACTGTGGAGGACTGTCAGTGTGGTATCTCATTTGAGGACTAGTTGGACTTTGGTGACGAAGTACAGCTGTATAAACTTCTCTAGTTTCAGTTTTGGAGGGGAAACTTAACATAGTGCAGAGAGCAGAGGGATCAACATTATTTTCCCTTTTACCTGTGAAAGTAAAGTAATGGCAAATTAGCTATCTATAGGAGGTTGCAAGATGAGAGCTGAGGTATTTTGTTAATGAGGAGAGCTGGCTGCAGAATTCCTTTGAGGAAATAGGAGCTGAAGAAAATGATTTTGGAGTGAACTGAAGAACAGTTCACGGCTGGAAAGAAGAATGGTGGATGGGGAGAGTTTGGTATTAATCAGCTGGGAAGGGCTGTTCCTGTTAAGTGAATCTTATCTGTATAGTGTGGGAAGTTTCTAAGTTGCAGTCTATCTAACGATTAAAGCAAACACCGAGGAAGCTATTAAGGGTTGAGAAGATTTTGAGAAGTGCATGTAGAGAAAATTGACTTAAAATGACTTAAAACATGTTGCTTCATCTGGTCGCTTTTTCAGGGAAACTATGTTAACAGTTTACATTCAGCTCATAATTCAGAAGGTTGTGTTTGCAGCTAAAATGAGACTGCTTCACATAGTATTTTCAGAACTAGAACACTAGGACAATTTCTAAGAATGTGGTGTGAATAACATGCATACAGATTAAAGAGCAGATCTCTTTGAAAAGGTTGAGATACCAATTTAACTAAGGTTTCAGGAACTTTGGAGAATTCCAAATGCAGTGACATGCCTTAGATTTAATTGTGATTTGCTTATCAAGGAACAGCTTTTCTCATATGTAAGAGAAAATATTCTAGTTGTAATCAGTTTATATGTAGCTTAAATGCTTTTGTTGTTTCAGAATGTTAATTTGTAATGTGTTGTGGGTGTAATGAGACAAGTAAACTACAGAGCATTTAACTTTGTTTTCCTTCTTTGAAAACAAAAAATCAGCTGGCTTCCAGAAGCCCAGGTTATTCAGAAGGCACTCAATTCAGCAGTTAATAATGTATACCAATATGGCCGAGAATGGATTACACATAAGGTGAGTTCCCCCAACATTTTTAACTTTTTCAATTCTTGTGTTTCATAAAAGTAAGGAGAAAGAAAAATACGTTTGTCAGCAATTCTTTTCTGTGTGGTTAACTGTTTTGTTGACAGATCTATTCTTTTCACTCTCTAGTTTGGGGTTGAAGGAAGGGTGGGAATTATTTCAGTAGTCTTTTCTGCTCAGAGGAATGTTCATTTTTAAGAACTGAAAAATCTGTCATCGCTTTTAATAAGATTGCCAGTGAAAACACATCAGATAAATATGACTTAATTTTTTCATCTAGCTTTAGCTCCTCAATTGTAGACAATGAAGACTTTATTTATTTTTAACTTTTTTTCCCCACCAGCGTTCTCATTTCTGTGTGGGCTGTGTGGTAGATGGGATTTTTTTTTTTTTTAATAATTATTTAAGTTGACTTTCTTCAGGAGAATTTGGCAAGATTCATTTGATACCTAGTCCACATCTCGAATTCTTTGAAATATTTACCCTAAGGATGATCAAGGGATGTGGATTAATAATTTTAGAGGTAACATTTGTTTTTCAGTGCAGAAGGAAGTCCTCAGCTTAGTGCAGCAAACAGAATGTTTTTCTGCAGACATGCTCATGTTGTGAGCCATGTTGTCTGAAATGTGCATTTGATACTGATACTCAGCTTTTCATTTGGGTTTGAGCCATCCTTTACTGACAGTCTTATGTGATTCATCTAGCTTGGGGTTAGTGAGTAGATGCCAGCTTCATTCTGTCCTGTACAATAAAAGATTTCTATTTGTTTTAGCTGCATAAGATTTTAGGAGAAAAAGTGAATAACACTGCTGTGATTGAAAAACAAGTGCTAGAGCTCTGGGACAGGCTTTATCACTCTTGGTTTGTGAAGGTGAGTAACATTTAAATGGCATTTATGTAAATTGTTATTTTGTGCTTTGAGATAATTATGCTAAGCATGCGCTTCTGAGAAGGAGATAAGCAAATAGCTGAATAAAGCTCATAATAATAAAAAGTTGGTAATAATTTCAAGTGTATAAGATGGTTCTGCTGTCACAGTGTGAGTACAGACAGAGCTACATCCTTCACTTTAGTTATGTATGCGTATATGTATGACATTTAATTTATTCTTTCCTTGTTGCTTCTATTTAGTGTTTCATAGTTCAGAGCTTTTCACTCAGATTTTGTCATTTTGAGGGGCTAGGAAAAAGAAACTAGTATTCTGCATGATTTGTGTAACTTTGAGTAATTTGAAATTTTGAGAAAGGACTTGTCCTTTCACTATGTTTCTTACCATGCATTTTTGCCAGCTGTACTAGCCTTCCTATAATGGGTTCTGCACACTGAGTTGTGAAAAGTTTGTAAGAGTTAAATAATTTTTATGCTGCCAGTGCTGTTTGCCTTTTAAGGAAAAAAGCAATTCATTAGCCATCATGCAATGGAAATACCAAAATCCAGAAGTCATACCCCTGACATACTTCTGTGTGTTTAAGTTATTGCAATTATAGTCGTTTAACATTTTTCTTCATACTATTATTTTTAAAGTACCTCTAATGTTCCAAGAAGATCTCCATTAAAAGAAGAGTTTCAGTATAGTAATCAAAATAGAAGGGGAAAGAATCAGTTTCTTTTTCTGACAGGAGAGTGCTGTAGAAGAGGATGTAGAGAGATAACACGGTGCTTTTGAGGAGTGTGGGACTACTAGTAAGAAATTAAAGCTGTATCTGCAATAGAATTTTCTGGCCTTAAGCACTTGGGAATAGTCAGTGTTAAATATTTGACCAAGAAAAGCACTTACTTTTGATACAGTTACACTGATAAACCTGTTGTTTTTACCAATATAACCTGTGTGTGAGATGGTCGGTAGCACTGTATCATTCAGTAGGGGCCTGTGTTACTGCATGTGTTTTACAAGTACTTTTGTTGCTGCAGTATGCAGCACAATTTCCCTCTGTGTTCATTGCATTATGTGATTTCTTTCCTGCATCTGTTATTGGAGGGAATACTGTGAGGCTTATTCCTGTAGATGCTCTTCTGGTAGGGCAAGAAACAGCTTTTCTGACTGTCAGAATGGCAGGAAGAGCTTCAGGAATGCACCGATGCTCGTTGCCTACAATCTTCAAATCTGTTTCGCTGACTGTTGTTTGCATACTAGACACTCTGTGTTACCACTGGCATGCTGGGCTGCAACCAGTTACCTGCCAGTTGCAGGTAACGCTTCCAGAGTCTATTTCTAGTCTTGCCCTTCTGCTGCACTCCATATCCACATAAATATCTTGGTGCTTTCCACCTGGCTATTTCTTTCTGTAATATTGCAATAGCCTTGTGTGATCCTTCAGTGTATCTGAAAATTAGTAAACTAGATGATAGTGTGGTGTGGAAGACATCTGTATCTGACTCTTGCAGTACAGCTTTCATGCTCCTCGCTATTTCAGCTGTATGAGCATAATAATCACACTTCATTTTGAGGCCTGTATGGTTTTGCTTCAGTCTGTAGGTGACTGAAGAGCCCAGGCTCAGGTGAATTGCTTCCACGAAAGCTGTAGAATTGAGGAAGAATTCCTGGTGAAATCTGGATTCAATGTTTAACTACTGCTTTCTGAGAGGATCAGTAGGTAGCAAGTGGTGTACATTTTGATAGGTTCTAGAGATGTTGCGGTAGATATGTGCACAACAACATAGATGCACATACATTGCATCTATGTATCCAGTAAAGTAAAACAGTAACAGGATAATAAACAACTTGGAAGATGATGGTATAGCTCTGCAATCAAGGTGTCTTTTCTGAGAACAAGAATCTCCTCTTCCTAGTCAATGTAGGTGTGGGGATTTGTTTTTAAGATCTAGTGAATTTTTTGAAGAGAAGCCAGTTGACCATTCATATCCCTTATTTATCATTACCTGAGGCCTTAGGTGCTACCACAGTACAATTGCTGAATATCGATGAACTTAAAATGTGTATGAGTAACAAATGTTAACAAAATTTGCAAATGCTAACGAATTCTGCTAGTTAATTCTGAGACCTGCCTTTGAAAATAGAACTAGATGAACACAAAATAGGTTCTTGATATGGTTTACAAATACAAAAGGTGTATTGTAGAGACATTTTTGACTACTTGTAATGTTTCTGCTCTAAATAAATTGCCAGCACAGGAGCAATATGCCTGTGTTGCTGTGAATTGTTAAAGAGCATTGCTAATTGTGTATGACAAAGTATAACAGTGCATCTAGGGAAAACTGGTAATAAGCAGAAAATGTAATGCTCTTAGATAAACTGGTGCAGGGACTTCACTTGGAATACTACTTGCCATGTATGACAAAAGAGGTACTGTAATTTTGAATGCAGGCTGTTACAGTTAAAAGCTTTTGGAAAATTCTAACAGGAGTAGCAGGATGCTTATGTAAACATCAACGTTGAGAACTTGAAGTCTGTTACTGTCAAAGGTTAAGGTGAGATCTGTTGTAGTCAGTGGGTTTGTTTAGATTTCTTTACAGTAGAATTTTGTCATCCTTTGAAACACTTGTCACAGTCCCAGGCTGACTGTACACAGTCCTCATGCTAGACAGTAATCAAGTGGGATTCAGTCGGACAATAGTCAACTTCATAAGGGGGAAGCCATTCAAGGACTTGGCTATTATGGTAATGTCCATTTCCTGTTGTCTGGCTGTGCTGCAGTTGCAAAGCTATTTAGTCAGAAGAAACCCTCCATACTTTCAGGTTAGCTTTTAGCTTTTGCATGACTGAACATTGCCAGTGGAGCAGTAGACACTAATTGTGAGAGAACTACTTGTTTTGGCTTCTGCTTGCATTTTCCTTTGTGGGTTGTACTAGGAAAAGTTGTAGGTTGCAAACAGTAAATTATATAGGCAGTAACTCAAATAAATTACCTCTTTCTTGTGTGCTTTCATAAAAAGCAAGATAGCTACCACTGTATCAGTCAAGCAGGAAAGCTAATGTTTAACTGAGGTGAATCAGTACAATATACAGAACTGTAATTATATGGGGTAATTAACTATGGTTTTCTGTCAGATTTCAATTTTTCCAGTGTACAGAGTACATTGAGGTATTTTTGAGGATGCCAATTAAAACAGGTCTAAGTATTCAGATGCATGTTAGATCTGTTCCTCATTAAGAAAACATTAGTCTTCGGCTTTCTCACATCTGTAAGTTATTCAAATGTCTGTTTTCTTTACATCTTTGTTTCTCTTTTTAAGAATGTAACACATTCTGGAAGACACAAAGGACACAAATGGCACATAAACCGTCAAAACAGCTGGCTTGGTGATATCCTGGACTGGCAAGATGTTGCATCATTTGTTCATGAAAACATCGAAACATTTCTTTCGGTATATTTTTTGCCCTTATTACGGAATCAGTCTCATTTTTAACTGATAACAATTCTTCTTTGAAGTACCACTAAGGTTTTGGATTCAAGTACATGGGAAATTACGGAAACAGTGTTACTTAGAATTACCTTAGCAATTATTGTAAGCCTGCTTAGGATGTTTGTGTCCTGCTTTGGATACAAACAGAACTGGTTATGATGAAGAAAACCCCCAGATTTCAGCACCTTCATTAATACTATCTTCCCATACTGCTTCCTGAGAGAGGCTGTTACTGTAGGATTACCTGTAGGTTTTCCAGCAAGCTGGTTTTAAATGATTTATATCATGTAGTCTTTTTCTTTTAAAATAGAGACCAATTTGTGTAGGTTATAATTGAGGAAACTATTGACCAAGAGCTTGTGAAAACAAAATTTTATTGTTAGCCTTGCATTTTCTTCCCTCAAATTATTATTCATTGCACTGAAAGCAGTCTATTTCCCTCTTCTTTTATTAAAGTTCTGTGGAGAATCAAATTAATATTTTACACTGTATGAGTTCCTGAATTAATACACTGGACCTTTCAGCTCATGAGGAGAAAAAGCATTGAAAGCAATCCAAACTGAAGCAACTACATTTCCCTAAAAAAAATGATGTTAAGTCTGAATTGCTTAATATACACAGAGTCAGTCCCTGATACAGTTCATCTCTTGACTTGAGCTGGTAGCATAAACTAGAAGTATTTTCAGGTTACTATTTATCTGTTTTGGAAAAACATTATTTATGCCTGATTCACAACATAACATTTCTATGGATGCAATTAAAGCTACTGTTTGTCTCAAGGCAGTTCTTCGTTTAGGCTGATGGGCATGTGTGCTTTTCCTGTCCTCTCTTAACTGCTGCTCAAATGCTTACAGTCTCTATCACAGAAGATGTGAGTCAAGAAAAAGTTAAAACTTCTTATTGTGCTGAACCTTTTTTCTGTTAATGGTGAAATTTGCTTAATACTTTCTTGAAGTTGACTGTGCATGCTTGAGGCAGAGTTATAACAATACACAGCACATCACCAGTTAAAATAAATACAGAGTTTTCTTCTAGGCAAGAGAGAGAAGGAAGAGAAACTACACGATAGGTGCTAGCAGTGTAATTTACAGCATTGCCGCACAGTGCTTAGAAACTGTGGTGAGTGTGCTTCTGTAATCTAAATAGGCTAGAATAATGCAGGAAATATGGTAAAGAGAATAAATATTTCAGACAAATGCATTAATATTAAAATTTCCATCTAGCTAGCATGCTTTGCTTTACTGCTGAAATCTGGTTTAGAAGTTAAGGAAGAAAAGTGCCAGCAGTTGACTTGCTTTCCTGTTTATTTCCATGAACTCATTACTCATCAGCTGTGGGGAAACACCTGTCCTATTTGTCCATACCCTCATGTCCTTAGTGACAGACTCTAAACCAGTCAGCATACCTCTGAATCCTGATTTCACATCCTCATCAGGTAGCATTTTCTCTGCTGGCTTGCTCATCTACGATGCTTTGCATAAATCTGACACTGATATGTCAAATTAAAACTGATGAAAATCTGGTTTCTGTGCCTGTTTAGGTCATTAAAACTTGGAGATGGTGAAAATCATCTGTATCTGAAGGGGTCCTTATGGATGCTGGGAAGGAACTCTTCATTAGTGACTGTAGTGATAGGGCAAGGGGTAACGGGTTCAAACTTAAACAGAGGAAGTTTAGATTGGATATAAGGAAGAAATTCTTTGCTGTAAGGGTGGTGAGGCACTGGAATAGGTTGCCCAGGGAAGTTGTGAATGCTGCATCCCTGGCAGTGTTCAAGGCCAGGTTGGACAGAGCCTTGGGTGGCATGTTTTAATGTGAGGTGTCCCTGCCCATGGCAGGGGGTTTGGAACTTGATGATCTTAAGGTCCTTTCCAACCCTAACTATTCTATGATTCTAAAATAAGAATAATTTTTACTTAAGTCTGGTGTTTCAGAACTGCTTGCCTACCTTAGGATACAATGGAACCTTACTTTGTTTGGGATTTATGCTTTTATCAGAGCATGAAAGTCTTTATCTTGGTATTTTGAAGAACAATGGGTTATTAGAATGACATACTGAATTGGAAAAGGTCAACAAAAATTAAATTTAAAAATTTAAAATATAAATACAGAAATTAAAAATTAAAATTTAAATTATGTGGGTGCCTTTGAGGGACTTGTTCTGGGTTTTGTTTGCTTTTTTATGTTTTGTGGGACTTGGGGATTTTTTTTTTTTTTTTTGTTGAGTATATTCTGTATGGTGGGGATTGTGGGGGAGCTTTTCTAAATCATCAATTTGGTTTTGTCTTTTTGTTTTCTTTTCCTAAAAGCTTTGGTGTTAGTAATACTGCTGCCTTTCAGCTTAAGAGTTTTCCAGTATTCTTTAGAAGCAGTGGTGTTATGAAACAGGTTATTCAGTGATGTATTTCTGAAGTGGGATTCATTTCATCCTATTCTTAGTTTGGGGAGAGGACTAGAATTGATTCTCACTCATGCCTCAAATTTTGCACCCCATGCTTTACTCCAAGGTAGTTTTTCTGATGACTGAAATATGCAATACATAGCTGGACTAGTGGGATTTAATTTCTGAAAAGTAAAACCTCATTCCTTCCCCACTCACATGTTTTTCCATTCATACACTTTCCTCCATTTCTTGAAGGCTTGAAACCTTGAGAAGTAAATTACTGCTGGCTAAATCTGTGAATGATGACTCAGAACTCCCTTGCTAATGTCTCCTTAAATTGATCTTTTCACTTGTTGCACAAGAATATTCATCATTCCACCAGCAGCTAGATCTCATTCAGAGACATCCCAGACACAAAGACAGAAGACTTCCCATTAAGACATATACAGAGACCTTCAGCTCAGTTTGGTTTCTCTGTCTGTGCCTTTAGCCGGATTGAGTTATGTGTTCCAAATCAAGTCAATTTCTCAAATATTTCACTGAGTTACCACATCTCCTAATGTTTTCTTTTTCCTGAGGATTTTTTCAAGTAATCTCCTAAGTTTATGGCTCATACAGTCCATTCTTCAGTAACAATTCAACTACCATCCCTTTTTTTTCTTTTTTTTTTCCCTAGTAAGGTAATCATTCAGAGATGTACTTGAAAGCAAATGCTAGTGATAACTAGTTCAACAGATATATGACTCTGCCTAACAAGGGTGTTCTTCTAGGAGAACCTGATGCTGATTGAGACACTTGGTAACTGCATTCAAACTAACTGCTGTTGTATATTCTTGGTTTATCAGCTCCTGAGGCTAAAACTTCTAGGGAAAATGTAAAACAAATACAACCTATACTAAATACAACCTATACTGGAGGAATGTACTGTTTTGAAGGAAACTTTCCCAGCCTGAATAATAGAATGGTTTGGGTTGGAAAGGACCTTAAGACCATCCAGTTCCAGCCTCCCTGCCATAGGCAGGAGTGCCTCACACCAGGCCATGCCACCTAAGACTCTGTACAACCTGGCCTTAAACACTGCCAGGGATGGAGCATTTACCACTTCCCTGGGCAACCCATTCCAGCGCCTCACCACCCTTACAGTAAAGAATTTCTTCTTTGTATCTAACCTGAACTCTTCGTTTAAGTTTAAACCCATTACTGGAAGGCTGCTATGAGGTCTCCACGCAGCCTTTTCTTCTCCAGGCTGAACATCCTCAACTTTCTCAGCCTGTCTTCATACGGGAGGTGCTCCAGTCCCCTGATCATCCTTGTGGCCCTCCTCTGGACTTGTTCCAACAGCTCCATGTCCTTTTTATGTTGAGGACACCAGAACTGCACACAGTACTCCAAGTGAGGTCTCACAAGAGCAGAGTAGAGGGGCAGGATCACCTCCTTCGACCTACTGGTCATACTCCTTTTGATGCAGCCCACAATATGGTTGGCTTTCTGGGCTGTGAGCACACACTGAAGCTGGCTCATGTTCATTTTCTCATCGAGCAACACCCCCAAGTCAATGTACAGTCTCTTGTAACAGATAGAACAAGTCCCTCTCCTTGTGACCAGTATCATTTGCTCAGCTGATGCCTTGCAAGTGATGGTGTGCAAGGGAGGGCATTAATGATTGCTATGATTAGTATTCAGAAGACTGATAAATCAGCCTATTTTAAATCTTTAAAAAAACACCTTACTAGACCAACTTTCATTAACAACATACTTCATGCTAGTTGTTTGTTTTACAGTCCAGTAATTATTATCAAAGTGGTCAGTCCTTAACAATCATACATGGACTGTGGGGATAGACTATAATCATGCTGATGCTGAATAGTTGGCACCAGTAGTAGCTGCTATCCTTGATGGTCTGAGTCACAGAAGTCAAAGTGATCAGATGCATGAGCTTTTAAATCTGGAGAGCTGGAACAGGAATGGACATCTTTGCTCAAATGAAGGAGCTTGTCCTTTTATATTTTTGTTTGTTTCTGGACAGCTCCCACCCTTTGACCTCTACCCTGGGCTACATGCTGTGTGACACTTGGAGAGCCACTACTTTTACGGGTCATGGCAGGTGCCTAGTCCTGTTGCTTGCCTGCTTTTGTTGCTACTCCCTTCCCACCTTCCTTAGTTGCTGCTGCGTTTTCTTAAATGAAAAGCATTTTCTTTCCTAGCTCTTAAGATTGTACGTCTTCAATGCTTTCTTCCTCAAGGAACTGCTTGTGTTTCAGGGGCCTTTGTTTTTGATCTGTGTCCATATTTTCAAGGCTTTTGCTGTTGTTCTCTGATTAAACTCCACATCATATCAGGAGACCTATAACCCCAAGCTCCTGTTCATGTGCCAAGTTCTAGTAGCAGGCTTAAACATCTAGGACTGGAGCCTTGCAGTTAGCCTGCAGCTTATGGCCTGTTACTGTGTACTGTTTTTACTGAGTACTAACTGAAAGGGCTCTGCTTTAACTGCAGACTGTTCCCCCCCAAAATCACTGTTCTCTGTGTTTACAGTGCTCATAGTGTACTGTACATTCAATGGAGTTACCTGGTGGCTGTGTGAATTTATACCACTGCTGTACCCTCAGGATTAGTTCTTAATCCATAGAAGAAGGGAACACGTACCAGTGGAGGAACATCCTCTTCGCTGCTAACCTCACTTGAAAACTCAAGAGACGCTAATAAAATCTGTTCAAAATATGAGTCTTAAAATTAATGATTCCCGTTAAATAGTGAGAAGCATGAACTGAGTAGGCCTTTCTGGTTTTACTGTATGTTTTAATTCACTTATTCCAGCACTTATTCCCCTTTATATATGCCAGCTATTGGAAGGGGATGTTGTTAGTTGGTTTTTGGTTTGTTTTTTTTCTTTTTTTATTTAATTCAGCTTAAGATATTCATTAAATCAGGAGTAACTGTTGCTAGTTTTGAAGTCTTTACTTACAGCTTAAAACCTGGAGAAAAGGCTTTTGTCTCAGAACTTTTAGTTTTTCCAATTAGTTTGTCTGAAAGAAGGTATGGCTTTTTGTCTGTAACCTTGCTTTTTTATATGTTTGAATCAATTTGGCTAATACATTCTTACTGTTTTCCTTCTGAATGAAGTATTTGTTATGAAACAACTGTGCATTGCTTTTAGGATGCCTTCATGTGGCATACTGTGCCATGCCTTTATGTCCTTAATGTCTCGTGAAGTTGCTGCCCTATTCAGATTGATGTGCCTACATCCATACATAAACTAATTTGGCTGCAGTGGCTATTCTGTATTTAAAGACATGTCTCAGACCTGCTCTTTACTGTCTGTAACTAATAAGCAATCAGCTCCCTAAGCCAGTACAAAATTTAATAGATTGTCTAGCATTGTTTGTCTTCCATAATTCTCTAACTGATGCATCACTGCTCCAAATCACCACTTGTATAGTTGTCTGCAGGCATCATAAAAATTATATATCTCATTACCATTAAACGTTTTAAAAACATTTATTAAAGGAATAATTCTAGTATTTGATTTGAAGCTGTTTTCAGATTTATTTCTACCTTATGATGTTACTCCTTGTTCTTTGTGTTTTAGCATTTCTGCTTTTGAAAAGATGAGTTTTCTCTCCCAAGATCTGCTTTCACTTGATGCCAATGTTAATCACAATGAACAAGTGTCACCACATCTAGATTTTTTTGTGATTTTGCATAATGAAGTGATTGGGAGAAAAAGTCTAAACCCTTGTAACTGTCTGCCTAGAAACTTGTCTCTGGTAAAATGGACATTTTCACTTGATACTACCTGCTGTGATTTGGCTTGATGGAGATGCATCACTCTGTAAGCATTTTTTTTTTTGTCCTAGTTAGTACCATAAACTCGTAGAATCAGCTAGGTTGGAAAAGACCTTTAAGATCAAGTCCAGCCATTACCCCAGGACTACCAAGACCACCACTAAACCATGTCACTGAGGGCCTCATCTACACGGTTTTTGAACACATCCAGGGATGGTGATTCCACCACTTCCCTGGGCAGCCTGTTCCAGTGCCTGAGCACCCTCTTGGTGAAGACATTTTTCCTAATATCCAATCTAAACCTCCCCTAGTGCAGCTTGAGGCCATTAGCTTGGGTCCTGTAACTTGTTACTTGGGACTGACCCCCTCCTCACTACAACCTCCTTTCAGGTAGCTGTAGAGAGTGATAAGATGCCCCTGAGCCTTCTCTTCTCCAGACAGCAGCCCCAGCTCCCTCAGCCGTTCCTCGTAAGACCAGTGGTATCTGACTTTGTCTTCACTTCCCTTCCTTTTCCAGATCCTGGAGTCTTTGTGGATAGTGATGAGTCGCAACGTGAGCCTCTTGTTTACTACAGTTACAACATTAGTGACAATCCTCTTCTATAGTGGGACAGCTCTTCTCAATTTTGTGCTTTCAGTGGTAAGTAGTATGTCATCGGTTTACATGGTCCATTTTACTGAAGGAACCCAATTGTGCGTATTGTAACAAATCAAACCTTAAGCATTGAAAAGATCTCCTAATCTTATCTAACACCAAAATTCTTTTAATATTCTGAAACTTTAAAATCTGTGCTTTGAGGGGCATTCTAGGCAAAGGACAAGATTTGTGTCCTTAACTTCCATGTTAAGGAGCTGCAGCCTTCCTACCATTCTGTTCATGGAAAACTCTTGTTTCTGGCCTTGAAGATACTGAGCTGTAACTGAGTAGCTGTGTGGTACTTAGTTGCTGGGAATTTAAACCACAACAATAGCCTACACAGCCACTGAAATCTTATGGCATGTCTTCATAATCAAGCCAGTACTCTCAGAAGATGGAAAAAATTGTTACTGGGAAATGTCAGCAGAAGTATTTGTTTTACAAGGATTTCCTTATATTCCCATTTTTAGTGATGTGTCTTTAGCAAATCTGTATAAAAGGGTTGTTGGGTTGTTTTCATTTAACTGCTATGAGCTCTTAATAACAGAATGCTTCATACACAAAGTTCTTATTAATGTTATTGCCCACAGAGTAGCTCTGAAACCTTTTTCTTAAAGGTGCTTTCTTTAAAGGGTGTTATTACTGAGGCCACACTTGGGGTTCAGACACTTTTCTGATGTCCTCAACATAAGAAGGACATGGAGTTGTTGGAGCAATCCCAGAGGAGGGCCATGAGGATGATCAGGGGGCTGGAGCACCTCCCGTATGAAGATAGGCTGAGAAAGTTGGGACTGTTCAGCCTGGAGAAGAGAAGGCTGCATGGAGACCTCATAGCAGCCTTCCAATAGCTGAAGGGAGCCTACAAGGATGCTGAAGGACTCTTCATCAGGGAGTGTAGTGATAGGACAATGGGTAATGGGTTCCAATTTGAACAGGGGAGATTTAGGTTGGATACAAGGAAGAAATTTTTTACTGTGAGAGTGTTGAAGCACTGGAACAGGTTGCCCAAAGAAGCGGTAAATGCTCCATCCCTAGTAGTGTTCAAGGCCAGGCTGGACAGGGCCTTGGGCATCATGGTCTAGTGTGAGGCATCCCTGCCCATGACAGGGCTGTTGGAACTAGATGATCTTAAGGTCTTTTCCAATCCAAACTATTCTATGAGTCTCTTTTTAGTGTATTATGGGAGCTACATAGTTTATAGTTTCTTTTGTTTCTAAATGCCACAGCTTGTCTGGAATAATTTATAATGGTGGAGGTAGCTTCTTTCATCTAATTCACTGTGGCAGCTACTACTTAAAATCTAAAACATTGGCCTGTGACTTCTTCCTGTTTTAACTAAACAAATACTAATCTTGGAAGCTTGACTGAAATCTACATCCTGGTTTTTAATTCAGGATCCAAAAACATTTCTTAGAGAACAAAGTGTTTTGCCAGTTTGACTTCATTGCCTTCACTGATGCCTGCTCAGGAGGGAGGTCTTTTTAGACCAAACTGCAAAATTGAAATCATGTTTAACATTTCAAGGCAGCTGTGTGGATTGTCTTCAATACTTAAGAACAAGCAGTTCACAATAAGACTTAATGGAACATCTGTCTTGAGCTGAAGAAAATCACTGCCATTTAATTTTGTAGTTCTCTAGTTATCTTTCAGTTAATAAAGATTGCATGGGAATATTTAATTTCTTCCTTAGTCCACAACTTCACCCATGATGACACATTGAAGACATTAAAAATGACAAGTTTGGATAATAAATGTGGATGATTTGAATGCATTTAATTGTTCAGCCACAAAATTTAGCCCTAGATGCCTAATGATTTACACCAAGTTCATTACATGCTGTTTGTGATGCATGATCCTGCCTTTTTGTCTGTCGGCAGGGTTCTGCCACTTGCTGGGGCACTGTGCAGCCAGCTGGTTTAGCAGAGCTAGTTGGTATATCGCTGTGTTTGAATCCTTTTAAAGATTAGACGCCCTAAAGGCTAATGTGTTTCCTCTACTTCTACTGTAGGTTGAACATGTTATTTAAAATGATCATGTAAAGCTTTCTCTACCAAAACATGACAGTCCTGTACTCTTGGTCTCTTGGATTTGACCATGACTTCCATTTTGAACTCCTTTTGGGCAGAGTATGAAAGTGATCTTATATATATAGGAAATATTTGTTTTAATACATTTTCAGGTTCTTTCTGTAGATTCTTCATAATGGTAGTCTTTGAAATGCAAACAGCAGAACTAATAAATTAGGAATACTGAACGTGTTTGTCCTGTATTGTACTATACTTGAAATGCACCAAGGTAATGGGATATGCTTGCCTTCCATTTCTGTGCACAGAAAATGTAATCTCTTAAGTATTGGTGTTCTTGTAACTGTACGAGGTACCTTTTTTGAAAACATTTAAAATTTGAATTGGAGTAGTAATTATTAATACTGTTAAATATTGTGGGAGAGCACTATAGAATCATAGAATCATAGAATAGTTAGGATTGGGAAGGACCTTAAGATCATCAAGTTCCAAGCCCCCTGCCATGGGCAGGGACACCTCACACTAAACCATGCCACCCAAGGCTCTGTCCAACCTGGCCTTGAACACTGCCAGGGACAGAGCATTCACAAGCTCCTTGGGCAACCTATTCCAGTGCCTCAGCACCCTAACAGGAGAGAATTTCCTCCTTCTATCCAATCTAAACTTCCCCTGTTTAAGTTTTAACTCATTACCCCTTGTCCTATCACTACAGTCCCTAATGAAGAGTCCTTCCCCAGCATCCCTATAGGCCCCCTTCAGATACTGGAAGGCTGCTATGAGGTCTCCACGCAGCCTTCTCTTCTCCAGGCTGAACAGCCCCAACTTTCTCAGCCTATCTTCATATGGGAGGTGCTCCAGTCCCCTGATCATTCTCGTGGCCCTTCTCTGGACTTGTTCCAACAGATCCATGTCCTTTTTATGTTGAGCAGAACTGCACACAGTACTCCAGGTGAGGTCTCGCAAGAGCAAAGTAGAGGGGCAGGATCACCTCCTTTGACCTGCTGCTCAAGCTCCTTTTGATGCAGCTCAGGGTACGGTTGGCTTTCTGGGCTGCAAGCACACACTGAAGCCGGCTCATGTTCATTTTCTCATAGACCAGCACCCCCAAATCCTTCTCCGCAGGGCTGCTCTGAATCTCTTCTCTGCCCAGCCTGTAGCTGTGTCTGGGATTGCTCCGACCCAGGTGTAGGACCTTGCACTTGGCATGGTTAAACTTCATGAGGTTGGCATCAGCCCACCTCACAAGCGTGTCAAGGTCCCTCTGGATGGCATTCCTTCCCTCCAGTGTATCAACCGAACCACACAGCTTGGTGTCATCGGCAAACTTGCTGAGGGCGCACTCAATCCCACTGTCCATGTCACCAACAAAGATGTTAAACAAGACCGATCCCTGAGGGACACCACTCGTTACTGGTCTCCAGCCGGACATTGAGCCATTGACCACAACTCTTTGTGTGCGGCCATCCAGCCAGTTCTTTATCCACCGAGTGTTCCGTCCATCAAATATTTTTCAAATATGATGGCCAGTGGCTTAGCAACTTCATTTGCCAGCTCCTTCAGGACCCACGGATGGATTTCATCAGGACCCATGGACTTGTGCACATTCAGATTTTTAAGATGGTCTCAAACCAAATCCTCTCCTACAGTGGGCCCAAGGTCTTCATTCTCACAGTCCCTGCATCTGCCTTCCAAGACTTGGGTGGTGCGGTCAGAGCCTTTGCTAGAGAAGACCGAGGCAAAGAAGTCATTCGGAACCTCAGCCTTCTCCAAATCCAGGGTAGCCAGTTCTCCCGATAGCTTCCTGAGGGGGCCTACGTTCTCTCTGTTTTTTATTTGCTATGTACCTGTAGAATCCCTTCCTGTTATCCTTAATATCCCTAGCCAAGTTTAATTCTAACTGGGCCTTAGCTTTCCTGACCTGGTCCCTAGCTTCCTGGACAACATCCCTGCACTCTTCCCAAGCTGCCTGTTGTCCTTGCTTCCACTTTCTATAAGCCTCTTTTTTCATTTGAATTTTCCTCAGCAGCTCCTTATCCATCCAAGGAGGTCTCCTGGCCCTCCTGCTGCACTTCCTTCTAGTTGGGATGCAACACTCCTGAGCTTTTAGCAGGTGATCTTTGAAGACCAACCAAGAGTCTTGAGCCCCCCTGCCCTCTAGGGCTATATCCCATGGAACCTTACTAAGCAGGTTCCTGAAGAGGCCAAAGTCTGCTCTGTTGAAGTCTAGGGCAGTGAGCTTGCTGCATGCTCTTCTCACTGTCCTAAGGATCTCAAATTCAACCATCTCGTGGTCGCTGCATCCGAGGCTGCCCTGGAGTGCCACATTTCCAACGAGCCCTTCCCTGATTGTGAGCACAAGGTCAAGCATGGCACCTCTCCTTGTCTGTTCCTCTATTACTTGCAGAAGGAAGTTGTCTTCCACACAATTGAGGAACCTCCTGGATTGCTTGTGCCGGGCTGTACCGTCATTCCAACAGATGTCAGGGTGGTTGAAGTCACCCGTGAGAACGAGGGCCTGTGAATGTGAGGCTTTTCCTATCTGCCTATAGAGTGCTTCATCCACAGATTCCTCTTGATCAGGTGGTCTATAACAGATCCCCACAGTAATGTCTCCCATCACTGTTTTCCCTTTAACCCTGACCCACAAGCTGTCTGTTAACTGATCACCAGTCCCTAGACAGAGTTCCATACTCTCTAGCCTATCCCTAACATAAAGGGCAACTCCCCCTCTGCGCCTGCCAGGCCTGTCTTTTCTAAAGAGTCTGTAACCTTCCATTCCAACACTCCAGTCATAGGAGACATCCCACCATGTTTCTGTGATGCCTATAATATCATACCCCCATAGACGAGCACACATCTCTAATTCCTCTTATTTGTTCCCCATGCTACGGGCATTTGTATAGAGGCGTCTGAGCCGAGCTCCAAATGAAGCCGGCTCACTGGCTGGAGCAGCCGGAATATCTCTGCATTGCTCCGAGCATTTATTTATTATAGGTGCTATAACTTAGTCCTGTTTGCACTATGTATTTCATAGGCTGTTGTGTCCATTCAGAGGCATGGTTTCTTATCTTTATGAAAGTCTTTTTCAAAGTATCTTGCTACAAAATCTGAACAGATTTTCTTAATACACAAAAAGGTAAATTGATGGAAGTTGTTTCAATGGTGTTTAGCTTGTGTTTGTTATCAGCTTATGACTGAAAGGACGTAAATTTAGGACATTCCGTGAATAGCCTGCACTAAATTAAGATAATGCAGTCTGTTATTTGGGGTAATAAGTAAATAAAAGTGCTAGTTACTGTGAGAATTTGGTTGGTTGAATCTTAAAAGTACTTTTTAGGTTAGCTTAACTGAACTGTCATGAAGTCCATGTAGAAATAATATAACTGCTTCGTAATTTTTCCTTGGGGCTTTTTTTCGCTTAACCTGTTGCAACAGCTTAATGTAATAAGCCAAGAAAATCCAGATGTGACCCTAGGATAAATCACTGCAGCTTTCTTAAATTGTGATGTGCGTTGTTACCGAATCCCATTTGGTATTGTGTCATTGTTAGATTTACCTGCTATTCACGTTCCTTCCTTTGGGGCTGAAGAAAAGCATCCTTCAAGTCAGGAGGAGAAGGCCAGAAGTGACCTTAACAGTTCTTGTTCTTCTGGGGTCTCAAAGCATACTTAGGTCTTTTGCTGCATTGAGATGTTTTCTCAATAATTTGATTTCCAAAGATGGGTATCTTTAACAGTCCATTTTTTCTTTAAGTTCTCTTTTTGAAAAGTCCTAATTTAAGAAGTTTACAGTTTCCTTGGGAGAACTGTCACTGTTCTCCGGTAAGGAGAAAAGCTTTTGTATAGAGTTAATTTGGAATGTGAAAGCAAATAGTTTCAGAGTTTTTGATCTAGTTTAATTGCTGCATCTTTGGCTGCCGCCTGGCCTAATATCCTTACCCATCTCCCTGTATTTTAATGGAGGTTTGGAATGGAATTTTTACATTTTGAATAGACAACCCTAAAGCTAGGTAGGCAGCGTTTGAGCACATTTTGTGTGTTGCTGTGGTCCAGCCAGCAGTGTCAGCTGAGAAAGCTGACTCTCTTGAAAATGTCACATCTTTCTTCTTAAAAAAGATAATGGGCTACCTCAGGAAGGATTTATTTTTTTTTTCTAAATGTGAAACAGAAGGAGCTTGTTTAAATTCTGTCTAGATAGAGCCATGTTTAAAAGAAAGCACTGCTCCAGCTTTAATTGTACTCTTGCATTTTTTGTTTTGTAGGATTCTTAAGTTGCTTCAGAAGAGGTTTTTACTAGCTAAAAGCATCACAAACTAATTTAAATTTGCCAACAAGATAATTTTTGAAGTGGTTAGCTTTTCAGCTGATTTCATTTCAGCCCAGTTCTAGTCATCTTGAATAAAAATTAAAACGGTGAATTTTGACTTGATAAATGGTTTAAAAATATGTGCTTTAAAGCATAGAAATAATGGACACTTTGTTCAGAGTCTTCATTTTGAAAAATATGTCTTCCATCCAAACATTCAGTAGGAAGTAATATCTGTAGCATGTGACTTGTTTTAGTGCATAGATTGGTTTATCACCCAAGGCAGAAGTTACACACCTGGGAAGATGGAATACAGTCACATTTGGACTGTGGACATTTTGGAAAGAGGTCACAATAGGTAAACAACAGTGTGAGACTTCCAAGTTAAAGGCTGGAAGCATGGTGGGAAGAAGTAATAACATTTTACTCAATAGAAAGGAATCGGGGACAGACACAAATTGATGACATTCTTGAGACTGGTGGTGGAATACTGCATGCTGTGGTGTTTGCATGGTTTTTTTTCCTGAGTGTGTTCAGAGAGAAAAAGGGCATGAAGTGTCTGCAGACTGGATAAAAAGCTTGAAGGTTAAGATTTATGGAGGCCAGGTTGTTTGGCTTATCAAAAGATTAAGATGTGGTTTGTAGCATACAAGTAGGTTGGAAGTAGGGCAAGTGAAAGAATTCTTTTTAATCTTGGGAAGAAGGAAAATCTAAAGCTTGCAGATGAACCAAATACAAGCCATAGTTTACTACTAGAGCATATGGAATGGATTTTCCTTGTTTGAGGTATTCTGTTTCAGGATGGACGCATTGATGTAGGCTCAGCCCCATAAACTGCTGAGGCCACTAAGAGAAAAATAAGGACAATATAGTGGACTGCAACATACAGGAAGCTAATAAAATCTGATTGTATTTTTTTTGGTGTTTAAATGGAAACAGTGGAACTGCCATCACTGCTGCTGAGACTCATTTTCAGACTCAGAGGAATACATTCAGGATTGCCAGCCTAATAAATACTACAGATTTTCTGTTTGTGAGTTTGTGTTTAATTCATATCTTGATACCCAGCTGCGTAATGATTCTTGAGACAACTCTGATTTATTTGGCTTTGCAGTGATAGCAGTGGTTTTAATTGTGTTGGTTTGGGTTTTGGGGTTATTATTTTTTTTTTGTTGTTACTATTCAGCAATTCTTCAATCTGCTAAACATGCTGGGGAAAAATAATAGACAATACAGCATTCTACTTGTTTGATCTTCATGTGACTTTGGGAAGAGCCTGAACAGGGCCGGAAGTTTTATAATGTTTAGTTATAGCTGTTAAGTCCTTTGTGGAGTAAGGGAGAAAATTATTCTTCTAACTGTTGTGTGTTTTTCCAAATCCAACTTTGTGGTATAGTATTTTGTGGCTTTCAAATGATGTCCAGTATCTGAAGCATAGCTGCATACTGTAGTTCTGGAAAGTGTTTATTGCCTTTTAACTTAAAACTCCAATTTGTTTTTGCAGGTGATTTTTCTGACCACATTGTTCTACCTGTTGAGTTCCAGTGATGAGTACTACAAGCCAGTAAAGTGGGTGATTAGCCTGACACCTTTGTCTCAGCCAGGTCCCTCCTCAAATATAGTGGGTCAATCAGTGGAGGAAGCAATAAGGTATGTTGTTGATTTCTTGCCCTTTCCAGAAAATTGGTTTTTTAAATTTGAAGTTTGCCTATAAATACTTAGCAATCGCAACAACTTGTGTTTCACAGATGAGTTGCCAATCTTGACAGATTTTCAAGAACCTAGTGTTGGTTATTTTACCCCTTGGTTGTTAAAAGAGCAATTTGATTGGACTTGCTTAAAAAAAATTCCGAGGTCTGTGCTGTAGTGAATACTAGTATTTCATAAAACTAGTACTAGTGAATGCTAGTATTTCATGATATCCCTAACTACAGTGTGTTTGCAGCTGTGTGGTATTAACAACTAACGCAGCTCAGTAGCAGCAAATTCATACAGCAAAATGGTTGAAATGGAGACCTGACATCTGTGGTGTACACATTTCAGAGTTACTTAGTTTGAACTAATTTTAGTCTAATCTTGGGGACTAAGTACCCATTTGCAGCTGAAGTGTATTAAATATGGTCCTGGAGTGCATTTTCCAGGTTCGTTTCATCTGAAAGAAATCCAGTTCATGATCTCCATGAACCAAATTACACCAAAGGGAGCAACAGGGGAGTGCTCTCCTTATCCCCCTTACAGCAGTGCTGTACTACACCTCCAGAGTGCATCCACAGTGTTTCATGCTTAGTTTCTATTATGTTTCACCTCTAAACTACTACAGTAATTGAAGGAGGATTTTTGTGTGTGCGTGTTTAAGTATGGTTCACTGAGATTTCACAATAAAGCAATTTTTGGGGTGGTACAGTAATGTATTTCGTTCATCACAGATGAATGAACCGTCAGCTTTCACCTGTTAGAAGCTTGAGACTAACATGTTGGTAACGTGATAAATGGATTTTAAATGCGGTGTTTAAGTCATCAGTCACTTCTTTGAAAAAGTTGATGGACTGGGCAAAGACAGCAGACTCCATACTAAATTCTGTGCAGCCGTTGTCTCACACTGCTGCTTTCTGTGTCTTCTTGCACATACATGCACAACAAGAATAGACTTTAAACCAACAATGTATTGCTTCCCAAACTCATGGCCAAATGTTCGCCGTTGTTCTTGGCTACGCTTTACAAGAAAGTGGTGTTATCAGTTACTGGAATTAAGCTATTTCTGGGTATGTTTTGACAATGAGAAGGTTATATCATGCTGTGAAAGATCTTGAATAACAGTGGTAACTGCTGTAGTGAGTTGAATTGAAGGGGCAATCCAGGTACAAAGCAACAGATTTGGAAATCTGCCAAAATGTTAATAACCCTTCACTTGAGTGACTGCTGTTGAGTTTTTATTGATTACATGGTTAATATCTCAGTTCTGTCTCTTCTGGAGAATGCAAGCAGATCTAGAAACTAAAACTGTCTGAAAAATTGTTCTTTTTAACCTTGGTAGAGGAGGACAGTGGCAGAAATAGGACATGGCTTCTGTGGATGCAGGTACTCTGCAAGGAAGATTGTATTAAATGCAATTTTAAGTTTATAGGTCTGGGCCACAAGTGACCCAAGATATTTGTTAGACTTTCAAATGATGGAAAGAAAAGAAAAAGATGTTAGAGAAGCCACAGGAAAATGAGTAGGAAAGAGCCAGCAGGCATCAGCAACTGCAGGCACTATGAGAAAAAGCAAATGTCTGGAGAATGTGGAATGTGAAGCTACTTGTCATATACAAGAGAACTCAGTCTGTGTTCACTAAGGTAGCCTGAATCGCTCATTCTTACTTGTTTGGTGTTAGCCTGTATTTGGTGCCTAATTAGAATTTGGTGCCATATGAAAAACAATTGCCACTGCAAGCCATAGTTTTTGTCACAAAGCAACAGCTATCCTTTGTTTTTGAAGATAAGTTGTTGCTAGAGGGGCAGGAACCTAAAAATGTCTTGTTCACCTCATCGATAAAAGGTATGCAAAATGGATGTTAATGCTTGGTGGTGTGATGGGAGGAAGAGGCGCCATCTGTTTCTTCATGTATTATCAAATAATGAACCTTCTGTAGTCAATTTTATCATTAGACTGTTGCATAATTGCACAACCTGAATCCAGCCCCAAAACACTGATGCATCCAAATTGGCCAAAAGTATAGAAAGACCAGGTTATAAATGCTGAAAGTCACCAGCTGTTTTCCAGTTCCCATCACTCTTCAGCAGGACATAGCATGTGCACAAGGCTAAGGCTATTAGTCCTACTTCTAGGACAGCTAGTCCTCTCCAGAGCACAGGATCCTTCTGACAAGAGATGCAGTTACATCTCTATTTTTTTAGGGACCATATGACATGAAAACACTCTTCTTCCATGTCGTCAATTACTTCTCTTGCTCTTTTACTTAAAATGGGTTCATGGCAAGCATTGGGCAACTTGGATACAGTCAGGGGAGTCTGTTCTTTGTGTCTTTTGCTACTTACTTTGTGACATGGACAGTGGGATTGAGTGCGCCCTCAGCAAGTTTGCCGATGACACCAAGCTGTGTGGTTTGGTTGATATGCTGGAGGGAAGGAATGCCATCCAGAGGGACCTTGACACGCTTGTGAGGTGGGCTGATGCCAACCTCATGAAGTTTAACCATGCCAAGTGCAAGGTCCTACACCTGGGTCAGAGCAATCCCAGGCACAGCTACAGGTTGGGCAGAGAATAGATTCAGAGCAGCCCTGTGGAGAAGGACTTGGGGGTGTTGGTTGATGAGAAAATGAACATGAGCCAGTACCAGTGTGTGCTCGCAGCCCAGAAAGCCAACCATATCCTGGGCTGCATCAAAAGAAGCATGACCAGCAGGTCGAAGGAGGTGGTCCTACCCCTCTACTCTGCTCTTGTGAGACCTCACCTGGAGTATTGTGTGCAGTTCTGGTGTCCTCAACATAAAAAGGACATGAAACTGTTGGAACAAGTCCAGAGGAGGGCCACAAGGATGATCAGGGGACTGGAGCACCTCCTGTATGAAGACAGGCTGAGAAAGTTGGGGCTGTTCAGCCTGGAGAAGAGAAGGCTGCGTGGAGACCTCACAGCAACCTTCTAGGCTCTGAAGGAGGTCTGCAAGGGTGCTGAAGAGGAACTCTTCATTAGGGACTGTAGTGATAGGGCAATTGGTAATCGATTAAAACCTAAACAGGGGAAGTTCAGGTTAGATACAGGAAAGAAGTCCTTTCCTGTAAGGGTGGTGAGGCACTGGAATGGGTTGCCCAGGGAAGCTGTGAATGCTCCATCCCTGGCAGTGTTCAAGGCCAGGTTGGACAGAGCATTGGGTGAGATGGTTTAGTGTGAGGTGTCCCTGCCCATGGCAGGGGGGTTGGAACTTGATGATCTTAAGGTCCTTTCCAACCCTAACTATTCTATGGTTCTACCTGTGAGGAGAATGGAGAGGGAGAAGAAGAGAAGGGCAATCAGCAAACTGTTTCTGTAACACAAGAAATTCTTTAACTTAAAGCTATTATCCAGCAAGTACCTAATCAAGCCAAGACCTTTTCCTGTTGCAGTTTCTGTCATTGCAGCTTTGTTGTGATTTTTATTGTGTTGGACTGTAAGTAGCTATAGATGTTATGAATATTTTTCTAATTCCCTTGATGATGAGTTTTCAAAGACAGTGACTGTTATCTGTGCACGTGGATTGATTTACAAGCTGTACTGTGGTAAGAACAGATTTCCAGCCTATTTTGGGCCAGGTGTCGACTCTGACTCTTTTTGTCACAGTACCTCAGATGTTAATTTGTGCTTGAGTAGAGGGAGAAAAAAAGGTAATACTATGTGATGATACTGCAGGAGTTTTAAAGAAGTTCAGGAATAGGAGAATACCTGCTTCAAGCCATGGGATGAAATGCCCTCGTATGAAATACCTTTGATAGGAAAGCTGTTCATCCAGGACAGGGGAAGGCAAAATGCCTGCAGCACATGTCAGGTAGTAAAAACCAACAGGTGTTTGGCAAGGGCAAATCATGCCATGCCTGACCTGAGGGCTTGCTTGGGTAGCTTAATGGTGCAAGGGCAGAGCAGTGAATGACAGACAGATCACTTGGAGGCCCTTAAAGGACCAGGTGACTTTAGTGAACACCCAGCATTGTGGGAAGTCCATAGGGTTTGTTTTCAATTAAACAGGACTTTCCCCTTGTGAACCTGTGCTGGCAACAACGAATGACTGCATTGTCTCTCAGGTATTTTTTAATAACTCCCAGAATGACCTCCCTAATTTTACCTGGCACTGAAGGGAGGCTGATAATTTGGAAGGAAATCCCTTTGTTGGAAAGGGGACTGGTTACTGTCGCAGAAAGGTTATCCTAGAGTAGGTTGCAGGAATTTTTTACAGCAGCACTCAGTCAGGGTGAGGAAGATGACTTCCTTTAGAAATGTGAGAAGCACTTGGACAGGTTTACTTTATTTAGATGATTTTAGTTTCAGTACTCGTTAGTGAAAATTTTCATGGTAATTATAATTGCATGAATAATGTAGTATTTTGAGTATGTATTTGAGGGTATAAAATACTCATTATTGCATGAATAATGAGTATTTTGAGGGTCAGGAGAGAGCTGTTACCTGGGCATATCAGTGTGAGATTTGCTTTGTTCAGAAAGGTTCTGTAAAATCAAGTTAGTTCATAAATCACCTACCTCACTTCATAAGAAGGCAAATTGTTGTCCTTTACCCCTGGAATAGGGAGGTGGTGCCCCTGTCTGGATTCCTCCCTCTCTCCCCGAATGTATGAACCACTATAAACCTCCGATTCACAGGTCTCCAACGTAGTGGCATGCACACCTTTGCCTGAACCATTTTCCTTTCCCCAAGCAGCATGTCGTTCGCTTCCTGAATGCACCATACCCTTCTTCCCTGAAGCTCCCATTCTGCTTGCTCTGGTGGAGATATTGCACATTACTAAGTTGCATGTTCTCACGGCTTCGGTGCAATTTAGTGTGTGCGATACTTTCACATGAGTGCATGCACACGGGTATGGCTGTGGCTTAAAGTTACTGCAGCTTTCAGTTTTGGTGGGGCCTAGTTACATTGTGAAATAGTCTTAAACCGAGAGCAGTATT